TAAGGCTGATTTTACTTTTTTAAAATAATCAATGAGCAACATGGATGTTTAAAAGTGTTGAAATATCTTTGCTATTTCATTATAATATGACCCCATATATGCATTTGCTTTGGGGAGTCAAAATTATTTACCATAACTTATGTCTTACATTTCTGTTTTAACTTGTTAAGAAAACAGTTAAATTTAAATAATTAAAGTTATGTTACAACTATGGCTTTTACATAACTCTATTGATTTTATTGTTATATAAAATTTATAATTTTACTAATTACGGAACTAATTTTAATTCGTATAACCCGTCGATCTTCAATATATTTGCTATTACTTTAGAACTTGACTGATACTGTAATTTGAGATACATATATCATTTTTTTGGTAACATTTGAATAAATTTTCATCCTTGTCTTTTTTTATTTTTTAGGCTTGCATAATGGGGCTTAAAACAAAGAAAGTACTCTTTGTTGGCGTACGAAACTCGTACTGCTGCATTTGTTCTCGGGCCGAGTCCAAAAAAATTCAACCGGCAGATCATGTTTGCTACAAGAACTGGACAAAGTCGTCGACATCAATGGAGGCTGATATTATTGTAGAGGGCTTTAGAAAAAGTATTGAGATGTATAATTTGAAATACGTCAATGTAATAGGTAAGTAGATATGTAATAGCATAGACAAAAGAATTAAATAGACCGTCAGCTGTGCTGCGGTAGAGTTTGAGTTTTCTAACGGGCAATTTGTTTATAGTGGAGGTTTCATTCTTCTACATATTATTATTATCCTCCATAACATAAAACAACACTAACTCACTAACATTATTATCAATAATCATAAACCCAAACGTAATTTCACACCATTATGGTTTTGCTTATTCTATCAGTAATGGTTTCCTAAATTAAATATTGATATTGTTGACATGTTCGTGTAAATCAGTGTTGTGTTGTTTTAGGTGATGGTGACAGTAGTGTAATGTCCAAGCTGACTCAGTGTCAACCATATGGCCCAAGTACAACAATACGGAAAGTGGAGTGCACTAATCATCTCCTCCGAAATTATATTAGGAAAATACGGGAAGCCGGGGAACAGAAAAGAAACCAGTTCGGTCCGATCCCAGGAGAGCTGAGGGATAAAGTACTGGGAAGCTTGATGCGATTGCGCCATGCTGTAACTGGTGCTGTTAAACACCATAAAGGCAATGTATCACAGCTAGGGATCCACGAGAGTGTCAAAACGTTAAAATTTGATCTTCAAAATGGACCAAACCATGTCTTCGGCGACCACTCTAAATGCCAACCCTACTTCTGTAAACGCGCGAGTGTAGGTGAACCAAATTTGGTGGAACGTCTAAAATTCCATGGTGTCTGGCCTAACATCATGGCTGCTAACGCTTTTCTGTGTAATTTTGCATACAGCCTGCTCCAGTGTGTTACCTCCAACATTGTAGAAAGCTACAATGCCAAAGTTTGTAAGATGGTGGGAGGGAAGAGGGTCAACTTTGTGCAGAGGAACAGCTATTCTGCGAGGAGTGAGCTATCGGCGTTGTCGATGAATGAGGCCGAAGAGGTTCATCGCCGCATTCACAAAAGGTTGGCTCTTGGACATAGCCCTGGTGTTCACGCAAAGTTGCTCGCCTCAAGAAGGTGCAGGAAGAGGACAAGACCAAGAAAATCACTGTTTAAGGAAAAGAAAAATAAGAGGAATCTTGATTATCGTGCCGATAGAGATTACGGCGATGTTCCCGACTTGGACCTTGATGAACAGGAGCTGTGTCAAAGGAAAACTAGTTTCATGAAATCACTGGCTCTTGACTCAGAAAGCAGGGCCAAATTAGAATACGAGTCTCGTGGCCAGAGTTCAAGTGAGTTGTGGAAGCAGGAGAGGAAAAAAAGGCTTACGGCTTCAAACTTTGGAAGAATCTGTAAGATGAAACAAACGACTTCTTGCCAAAAGACTGTAGAGCAGCTCCTCTACAAAGAGTTCTCGGGAACAAATGCAACAAGGTATGGGTTGGAGAACGAGAGGACAGCCATTTCCGAGTTGGAGGATCTCCTGTGCATCAAGGTACAAGAGTGTGGGCTTTACGTGGATGAAAAGCTCCCATTTTTAGCAGCATCTCCTGATGGACTTGTTGATGATGAATACATAGTGGAGGTAGATTCATTTTAATTTATTTATTGGAAATTTATTTTGGATAATTTATATTGCATTTCTGTGGTGTGAGTTTGAAGGAAACTAAACTAAACCACAATATTCCAGCATACTTCTAACAAATGAGTAAAACAATCTAATATCGGGGTCAATTGATCTTAAATTCATGGTATTTCTAATTATTAAACCTAACATTCTGTACGGTTTTATCTCCTAGTATCAGTCCTACCAATATATCCAAAAAGAATAAATAATCGACCTTTTCAAAAATAGCACGTTTTATGTGACTGGAATTTTATGTAACTTTGTAAATTAATGAATTTAAAATATGTTTTAACCTTACATATTATATATTATGAATAACATTTTAGTAATTTTTCATTTTACACATGCTTTTAACCTTTTAAATTATATTACAGGTAAAATGCCCACCATCAGCCAAAGAGTTTTCACCAGTGGAGGCAGTAGAACGGAAAATTATAAAGTTCTGCACTAAAAATGAAGAAGGTGATTTGATCCTGAAAAGGCGGCACAGTTATTATTATCAAATCCAGGGACAACTACATATAACTGATAAAAAGTTCTGCTTCTTTGTAGTATGGACTCCCCATGGTTTGTCTGTGGAAAAGGTTGTGAAGGATGACGAGTTTTGGATGAAACATATGGAGTCTCAGCTGAGGACATTTTACAACAAATGTATTTTACCGGAACTGGTAGATCCAAGGTATCCTAGGGGACTTCCTATTAGGGACAGATTTTAAGCCGTCACCAGCCGTTAGGCCTACTGTGTTGGATTTTATTTTGTAATATTTATATAACATGAATGTACTCAGTATACTAGCTCTTTTTGTAATATTTATTTTTCATTATTAGCTTTGCAATATGCAATATTGTGTACAAATATATTTCTCGTCATTCTACTCTCGTTTTATAGTACCTTTGACTACGAATACAAGTATCCAATAGTCAATTATATTACCGAATTGTTGCCAAAGTCCTCTGGTAATACCAGATGTTTATTTCCAGATTTACTTTGTATACAAACAAGAGTAAAATTCAACATTTACTGTTCAATATTTATTAGTTACTATAATTACTTATGAATATTTAATTCATAACTAACTATTATACAGTATATATCCATATATAAAGTTTCTGGCATTTAATTATAACAATACACATTAAATAGTCATTACATTACGAAGGATGGGTAACTAAATTTACAAGCGTATGTTGTAGCGTATGTATGTAACAGGTTGCTATGACGTTTTTTGCGAGATAACATTAAAAAGGTAAACAAGACTCGCCACGTATGTTAGTCAACGAATCGTCTAAAAAGTACATTACCGTATAGGACACAGAAAAAGGGAAGAACAATCATATTTATATTATTGAGCATGGATTTTTTCTTTATGTGATAAAAGATGCTATAAAAATGAAGTTTTCATATCACCATTGTCTTTTTTGTAAACATTAATTACATAATTATAATCCCCAAGAATGTGTGAGATACCGACTGATTCTGTGCCCATTACGGTGTAGCTACAGTTGGAATAGAGGTTAAATAATAATGAAAATCTTAAACATCAACAAAAGAAAATAAATAATTATAACAGTTGATTAAACAAAAAATTTAAGATTACTATAATTTAATGTAGTGATACTTTACAAAGTATAACTAAAGTATTTTATTTTTATTCAATAATGACAAACAAGACTCAATATTTAGGAATGTTTTACTTTTTACTGTATAATCTTATGGGAGCGATAGCGAACGTCACGTTGCTGCCAGTGAGTGTCGGTGGCAGGGCATGATGGAGGTTTGAGCAGAAGCAAAAGATATGCGGACGCGCGAATAACAACCTGGTTGCGCTTGCGCGTGTGTGCGTCGGGAGCTCCGCAGGGCACTGCACTGCCTAGCGGGGAGCGGCAGTCAACTCGCGAACCTCCTAGCTCCTCCCACCCCTTCCCCTCCAACTGGGTTGAACCGACACGGCGCAGTCTGGCGGACACTTCGAACATCGTTCTGAGATTTCCGAGCTGAGGTAGAGCCCACCCTTAATAATTTGGAATAAATTAATGAGACATTTTATATACAGTAATCATTCTCATCTAAACATAAAATTTTAAAACCTTGGACCGACAATGAACAATTATAAGCTCAATGCAGTTATACATAAGAAAAGTACTTACTTTGAGAAAGAAAAATGAAATTCAAAATCCTGGCCTAGAGACTTCTTGAGAAAGGATAGGAATACATCTTTTTCCTACAGTTACCTAACAATGTACATGTTGTCTCACTGATTTCAGAAAGCAAAGTGGCCAATTCGCTCATCAGTGAGACAATGTTAACATTGTCTCACTCTAATTACTTTGTCTCACTCCAGATTTGCAACGTGAAGGCACGAAATAGTGAGCGCGTAACATGCAGGCAACGTCGTATGCGCGCGAAATACGTTGGCAGCACTGGCTGCAAATCAGCTGGTCAGCTGTTGTACTGTTGTATTTGTCACTTCACATTAAATGTTATATTAAAAGTTCACTTCTGTGTAAAAATAGGTTATGTTTCTTCACCAATTTATTTGTTTTATGGTAACTGTAGGAAAAGAATAATGTGCAACTCGAGATCAAAGTACAATTGCCTCACTCGAGAAACCATTCCTCACTCGCCTACGGCTCGTGAGTAAGGATTTCTCTCGAGTGAGTCAATTGCTCACTTTTCTCACTAGTTGTACAAATAACTATTGGTCAGTGAAATGACACAAATTGATGGAAACTTCATTTAACTAGATCAGTGTTCTTTTTTTATACCCAATAGATTTAGATATTTTAATAACGTCTTACTTTGTGTGTTCCAGATTAAGGACCTATCATTGTCAGGTGTGACACCCAAGATCAAGTGTAATGTTTTTTTCCCAATCAGTTTTAATAGAGCATGTTTGTATTTATTAATAAAGTACTTTATAGTTTACTAGCAGAGTACCCATCCTTTGTACAGGGCTCACCTATATTTGTGATTTTTCTTATTGTTTATATGCCCGCCCTTTGCGTTTGCAGAAAATGGCCTAGAAGAGGGAAATTTGGTTTTTGATTTTAAAAAATGCACTAACAAGAGACTCAACTGGTTGACCAATTACTAATCTTTTATATAAACTGGTTGACCAATTACTGATCTTTTATATAAAAACTTTTTTAAATCCTTAAAATAAAATATTAATTGTTACAGAAACTCAAACTCAAAATTTACGAATCATGTGGTAAGCCTAACTATCACAATATTACCAATGGTAAAATACCCTTTTGAGTCAGCTCCAATATTCCTTTTAATCATTTCAAACTAACAGCAAGTAAACTCACGAAAAACCTTGGCCATTCAAAGTATTCTGTGCGTTGTTTAACTTTCAATGAAGGAGGGTCTTAAGAAAACACAATACGACCAAATTTACAATTTTCTAAACATATAATACAAACGAATATATACTTTACAATATTGATGAACAAAATAAATAGGCATAACTTTTTACAAAAATACAAAAAGTCCTTAAAGCTAAGAAATCACTACAAATTGGGCACCAGGTTACTAATGTTGATGATAACATCATAGACAAAAAGAATTAAATATAAACCGTCAGCCGTGCTGCGGTTACTATAAGTTCTGGCGCACACCGCTGGGAGCACCATCTTGGCGTACGCGCTAAATTAGAACCCCAACACGGTACTCACAACAGTGTGCGCCATAACCTATGGTAACCACAGCACAGCTGACAGTCTATATTTAATTAATTCTTTTTGTCTATGATAATGTTCAGTTAACAGTTCTGCAATCCATCCAAAACATCTTCAGCCTCTTCTTGCAAACTCTCAGCTTTTGCCAGCAGCATCAACTAAAAATATATAATGTCAGAAAATTGACTCATACGTTTAATCCCTTACCCTTCAGTTTTGAGAAATAATCTGGTTTCCCTAGTATTTTATACAGAAAAACAATTAAATAAGTGAAATAGCTTATTCCCTTTATGGGAAATTTGCTAAAAAGAGTTCTTTAATTCAATCTAATTGGAACTGAACCCTGTTCAGGATTATCGGGTATTTGGGTAAGATGAAGTTTAGTGTTATATTATCTTGATGTATACTAAATTCTTCATGTGTCAAGTATTAAAGGTAAGAAATGGTGTATCATAAGTACCTACACTGCAATTTAACTGAATTGGTGACAGATCAGAGGCATAATCAACAAGACTTGTAGTTTGTAAGAAAAATTAAAAGAGCAGTAACCTAAAACCATTACAAAATCTACACATTAAGCGCAAGTTGTGACTGATGAATTTGACTTGGTAAAAATCTGACAGATATCATCCGTCTAAATTTTGTTAATTGTACTAGAAGTACTCAGTTTAAAAGTGTAACTACTTTACTTTTTTCATTGCATTCATAAAACATTCAACTTATAGTTAACATAAACAAGTTACGCTGTAGGCAAACATCAAATACAAGTTGCAAGAAATTAACTAAGAAGTTCCAATACTGTCTGGGCAGCCAAAAAGTTATTGTGCTCGCCTTCAAATCTGGCAATGGTTTGATTCCAAATGAGATTATTTCTGGAACCAGACGCTATTTGTCATTAGCCTATCAATACTGTCTAACAAAAGGTCGACGTTAGATAGTAACAAGGTTTATGTGGTTCTCTTACAAAAAACATAAGAATACCTTAGCAGCAGCCACGATCTGATGAGCCACTTTCCTCGGCATGTGGTCTATAGTCTGCACCAAAACCTTTGGCTCTGTTTTCGCAAGGATACTGATGCTTTTAAAACCAGCGTTAAACAGTTGTTTGGCTCGCCCCTGTGAAAAATCAGTTTTAAACTTAAGTACCAGTGAAGACATATTATTATTAGAGCTAGAGCTCTACTACAAGTTGAATTTCGTTTACGTAACAAAATTGTAAAACTCATTTGTGTAGCAATCTACAGCTAGAACCTTTTGCAATTTTAAGGAGTTGATGTTTTTATAAAACAAATTGCAGCAAGAAGACTCCAAAAAACCCAATTACTAGAAAGATGCAAAAGTGTGGTGTCGTTTTACTTAGCTTGCATGCATTAGCACCCGTTCTCACACATTAAATCTAGATTGCACTGGCAGTATGTCTAACTTGGCTGAAACATCATCACAGTTAAGGAAATAAAGAAGCAACTTGTTTTACTTTTAACGTACAAAGGCCAATCGATACATTGGAGATCATGAGTGAAATAGCAAAATTCTACATTGCAACTATTTCAGCAAGCATGACTCAACAAAAACAGCTAAACAATGTTCGGAACATGTACGCAACCTCCAGTAAAACTAGCAGCAAAACTTATGCCTAACTTTAAAAAAAAGTAAAAGATGAACTACTATAACCTACAGGGCTAGGCAAAAGTCTGGAACCCCCAAGTTAACTTTTTAACGCGTTGCAGTAGGAAAACCAAACTCGGCACATATTTACAACAAAAGAAATGGCACCTATTCATCAAAGTTACAACTTTGCCCCAGCCCCCACAATGGGGTATTTTGAGGGCAGCCTGCAATTTTCAAATGTAAACACCTATCATGTGACCCCTCATTTTAAAGAGTTTATCTTATTTTAAAGGGTGTCCAGACTTTATCTTGCTTGCTCATCTTAAGTAGTTAAAATGGCTGCCATTTTGATTAGGGGTGCGATATTGACCTCTGGTTTGCGCCATTCAATTTCTCTTGATAACACTTTTAAAATGAGGGGTCACATGATAGGTGTTTGCATTTGAAAATTTTGGGCTTCTCCTAAAATACCCCATTTTGGGGGCTGGGGCAAAGTTGTAACTTTGATGAAAAAGTGCAATTTCTTATGTTGTAAATATGTGCTGAGTTTGGTTTTCCTATTGCAACGCGTTAAAAAAGTTAACTGGGGGGTTCCAGACTTTTGCCTAACCCTATATAGGTGTACTTGTTGGCTCCCACAAAATGCATAGAACCCTACATAAGAAGTTCACCCATCAACCGTTCCGTGCAGATGTGACCAGGTGTTTTCAAAGCCAATGGCAATACTCACTATTTTGACAGCTGGCAGCTCCATGAGTGGGAGCAACTCCACTGTACAACAATGAGTGAGTCTGGACGACATATCTGACAACAGAAGTTTGAAACACCACATGTCTTCCAACACCTGAAATGAAATTTAAACAATTTGTCAGTTTTGGAATATTTACCAGTACTGGTACTCGTTTACCCATTTGGGATATCACAAATAGTTGCAAAGCCACTAATTTAGACCTACCAAGTATTAATAATGAAAAAACAAACTGCTATTTGTGATTGAAAGTCTTTAAACTTTAAATTGTATAAAAACAGCAAATATTCCAAATTTTTTACTGTAATGTTGGCTGCATTTTTTAACCTTGAATTTGGCTGTCTGCATACTTCTCTGGCCAATGCTTGTTGGAACATATCACAGGGTGTCTGGTTTATTTCCATTATAAAATTCAAGACTAATTCCAGACTTTTCAAGACTAATTCCAGGTTTTTCAATAATTAGTGGGTGTTGATACCAAAATGTATCAATTCTCGATTCTTGATACCGATACAAATTTTTATAGCTTAACCAGATTTTCTAAATAATACTACACCAACCCCTGTCTTTGTCATAAAGTAGTATTATGATAATGTGGTGTTTTCAAGTAAAGAAATAATGCGGCAATAAAAAATTCTAACTAGCAAATTTGGAAATCTTCCGCGTACCGTACGTGGTACGTGTAGACATCATCATTGACTGCAGCGGTTACAGAAACGTGATTGTCGTCGTCCGCGATCACGGCAAAATCATGAACATTTCCCGCGGCCTTGTAGACATCAATGACATCATCGTCGTCTACCGCGGTCTCAGAAACGTCATCGTCATCATCCGCGATCACGGCAAAATCATGAAAATTTCCCGCGGCTGTTTAGACATCACCGTCATCTCCCGCGGTAACGGAAACGTTATCGTCGACGTCCGCAATCACGGCAAAATCATGAACATTTCCCGCGGCCGTGTAGACATCATCGTCGTCTCCCGCGGTCACGGAAACGTCATCGTCGTCTCCCGCGGTCACGGAAACGTCATCGTCGTCTCCCGCGGTCACGGAAACGTCATATCGTCATCTCCCGCAGTCACGGAAACGTCATCGTCATCTCCCGCGATCGCGACAAAATCATGAACATTTCCCGCGGCCGAGCAGACATCATGGTCGTCTCCCGCGGTCACGGAAACGTCATCGTCATCTCCCGCGGTAACGGACGCGTCATCGTCGTCGTCCGCGATCGCGGCAAAATCATGAACATTTCCCGCGGATGTTTAGACATCATTGTCGTCTCCCGCAGTCACGGAAACGTCATCGTCGTCTCCCGCGGTCACGGAAACGTCATCGTCGTCTCCCGCGGTCACGGAATCGTCATCGTCGTCTCCCGCGGTCACGGAAACGTCATTGTCGTCTCCCGCGGTCACGGAAACGTCATATCGTCATCTCCCGCAGTCACGGAAACGTCATCGTCATCTCCCGCGATCGCGACAAAATCATGAACATTTCCCGCGGCCGAGCAGACATCATCGTCGTCTCCCGCGGTCACGGAAACGTCATCGTCATCTCCCGCGGTAACGGACGCTTCATCGTCGTCCGCGATCGCGGCAAAATCATGAACATTTCCCGCGGCTGTTTAGACATCATCGTCGTCTCCCGCAGTCACGGAAACGTTATCGTCGACGTCTGCAATCACGGCAAAATCATGAACATATCCCGCGGCTGATTAGACATCACCGTCATCTCCTGCGGTCACGGAAACGTTATCGTCGTCGTCCGCGGTCACGGAAACATCATCGTCATCTTCGGCGGTCAAGGAATCGTCATCGTCGTCTCCCGCGGTCACGGAAACGTCATCACCGTCGTCCGCGATAGCGTCAAAATAATGGAAATTTCTTGCGGCCGTGTTGACATCATCATTGACTCCCACGGTCACGGAAACGACATCGTCGTCCTCCGCGATCGTGGCAAAATCATGAGAACATTTCACTCGCCCGTGTAAACATCAACGTCATCTCCCGCAGTCACTGAAACGTCATCGTCATCTCCTGCGGTCACGGAAACGACATCGTCGTCCTCCGCGATCGTGGCAAAATCATGAGAACATTTCACTCGCCCGTGTAAACATCAACGTCATCTCCCGCAGTCACTGAAACGTCATCGTCATCTCCTGCGTTCACGGAAACGTCATCGTCGTCTCCCGCTGTCACAAAAACGTCATCGTCGTCTCTCGTGGTCACGGAAACGTTATCGTCGTCTCCCGCGGTCACGGTAACGTCATCGTCGTCTCCCGCTGTCACAGAAACGTCATCGTCGTCTCTCGTGGTTTCGGAAACGTCATCGTCGTCGTCCACTATCGCGGCAAAATCGTGAACGTTTCCCGAGGCCGTGTAGACATCATCATCATCGGCTTTCGCAGTTACGTAAACGCAAGACGACGATCGCGGCAAAATCACGAAAATTCCCGACTTTGAAATCAAAATTTAAGACTTTCCCGACTACTAGACACCCTGATAATATCAACGTATACAAAAAAGCAAGGGATAAGTCGGTACAGTACAAGAGCGAACTTTACTGATAAAATGTAGTGGCAAGCACCAGGATCCAAATCCGCTAACATCGCTGCCATGGATCCAAAGTCTGTCGTACTACCGATTGAACCACGAAATGGATTAGCTTGAGAGGGTCGCCGGAATTTTATCCCCCTGGAATTTTACCCCTGGGCAAAGCTGACGTCCCTATGACGTAGTAACCTGAGTGGCCAAAAGTTTGTTCACGGCCGGAATTTTCCCCCCGAGGATTTGGAAGTCTAATGAAAATAGCCAGAGCGTGATTAATTAGATTAGCGATAAAAACCGGAATTTTACCTCCTGTCCATATAACTAGTGTTTAGACAACTGAAGATGTACGGGCCGGATTTTTACCCCCGGATTTTCACCCTCGGAATTTTACCCCCGGATTTTTACCCCCTGGAATTTTACCCCCTGGCCGATTTTAGAAATTGAATTATTGATTTTCTTATTTCTGTTTTTAATTAATTGTAAACATTTAATTATTTAGTAGCCTATCTTTATTTATTTATTTTGTAATATCAACTAAGTAAACAGAATTCGCTGTTTAATTTTGATGTTCGGGATTTGCGTTTGGGGCCAACTGTTGGTTAATAAGTATGTAAAATAAGCTGAGTAGCTGATTTAAATTATAATTGGGTGAACATTTCTTCGTAAAGAAACAATAAAGCGTATTTTGTTATTGCTACAATACAAACGAAAAACATTGTTTTACCACGGTTGTATAATAAATCGTTCAAGAAATCTTCGAATCAATTACCATTCTGATGTTTGTTTATGCGTCATATTAATCAACAGTTGGCTTCAAAGATCAAATCCTGATACTCGAATCTCAAAATTAAAATCAAAAACCTGTTTGATTAGTTGATGTTACAAATAAATTAAGAGGTTACTTAATAATAAAATGTTAACTATTAAATTAAAACAGAATGAAGATAATTTATCATTTTCACTAATTTAATATATCTGGCCAGGGGGTAAAATTCCGGGGGTTAAAATTCCGGGCCGTACACTCTAGGTTTTTATAATTTGATGTGTTCTGATTAAATTCGCAACCGTGAAAATTTATGTTTAATTCCCCGTTTAATCCATCGAGCTGATGTCGCGAAACTCAAAAGTTCGCGGCCGGAATTTTACCCCCTGGTTTGTGTTGTCGCGTTTGCCCAGGGGGATAAAAATCCGCTACTACGCTTGAGAGTGGTATTACAGCAATAATAAATTCTTTAATAATAGTGAAAATCATACAAATAGAGGTTTGCCAGTGGCTCTATTTTTAACCAAGCCGAGCCTTGCCTTAAAGCTTAACAGCCGTGTCAGAATATCTTGCCAAACCAAGCTTTTGCTCTCGCAATTTATCATGATTGTAGAACAGAAAGAATAATGATTTATCAGCAAGTATAATTGCCTAGAGCTAGAGGTAATTAAGTCAAGTTTATGTTGGAAAACCTGTCTATAAAAATAATATAGTAGGCTATAGGCTCCATGGAAATTGTCTAAGAAATCCATTAATGTTGTTGAATTTTTGTATATAATATAATGGATAAAGTTTGTTACAATTTATATTGGACTTGTTCTGGGGTATAGTTTGGTTTAGCTGTCATAACAACATATTTAATAATCTGCTTAACTCTAGAATCGATACTTAACTGTACCAACCTCACAAAATCTAACGACACTTGAAGAGAATGCCGAAGACGAAACCAAAAAGTTGTGCACTAATCCTCTAGGTAAAGAGTATTTGTTTGAAACTTTCCAAATACTGCTCTGGTTCCAAAGGTCAAACAAGATCAAGCTAAGGTAGAATCTATGCAGGACTTCACTCAAACTGTTCTGAAAAGTAGGCTGAATTAAACCTGGTTAAAATTGTCACATAATTATTGCCAAAGAGCTACAAGAACTCAGAACAAATTAAAGAGACAAGAAACATTTATTTTAATTTCTTGTATGTAATCCTTGCTGGAATAGAATAATGTTATATCATCATGTTGTATTTTGGAACCATTAATAACTCTTAAAACATATTTAGCACATATAGAACATATTTAACGTACTCAGAATTTTATTTGTGTAATAAAAAACCAACAAGTAGTAGAACTTGAACCAACCAGTGTATTTTTTATTTAAAACACCTCCTCTTGTCATATATTGAATTAAAGTCAATTTAGTATTCATAGTTTGGTACTTTGTAATAGTAAATGGAATAATTAAATACAAGATATTACAGTAGATAGCGATTAACTTCTATCAAATTGTACAATCATCTCCATATCCAGTACCGTAGGTCATAACAAACAATTCTAAATTTAATACTGATTTCATTACTAGACCTAAAATATTGACTTGTTTTGGAATAATTAGGTAATCCTATCAGAACAGTGATCCAAACCACCTTAATAAAACTACAATAATTACCTTGACCAATCTCCCTTGCATCATTTGTGCTATACAACTTTCTTTGATTCCCAAAACTTTGGCAGTTTGCATGTCTTTTGACCCAAGCGCCATATACTGTAAAATAATAGTCATGGTTAAATATTTTGTATTTAAAAAAGGTTAGCCACTGACAACAATATGCAATCATAAAAATAAACATGTTACTTTTCTCCTTCCTTTTTGTAAAAAAACCCCAAAGTTTACAGGCAGTTGTCCTTCCAGTTTAACTTGTTTAAAAGTTGTGCGTATTTGACATTAATCAGCTGCATACTCAGTCGGAAGCAGTGTATCCACACGACCAAAACAAAAATCCTGCTTTTCAGGTCTATAAAATCCGTTTTATCACGCTCTCTAGTGAAATGAAATATCCAGTTTTACCCTGCATGAATTTTGTAAATAATCTTTTTTCATCCCGAGTGATTTTTTTTACTCACCATGTTAAAAAAGCTCTTTAAACCTTGCTAAGACACTTTACTGCAATTATTAAACTAATTAGAGATATTTTTTATCTAAAAATTAGTAAATAAAAATAAAATTTAGTGTCAGAGCCAAAAAGCCTGTTTTATCCTACATCTAGTTTATTCCCAATTCAGTTTATTCACATGTTCTCAAAATCCTGTTATCGGGATAAAAATCTAGCTGGAACAATGGTCGGAGGTTCAGCTCAAAACTGCGTTAATTTTCATTACTATATTGAGGCACAACTTTAACACAGGAATGGAATGTATACTACCATCAACATTGAAGATACGATCAATCATCTAAGTTCTGTTCTGAATACAATATAAATGCTGAATCAAGAACAATACGTTCAAATACTTATAGAGCAAAATCACTTAACTCACCGAGTCACAGAATGCCCGCTGCTGGAAGGGGATCAGTTCCAACATGGGGTACGGGATCACCAGGTAAAGCAGATGCAAGTGGGACAGAAGTACTAGTCCGTCCTGAGCAACCTTCAGATCTCTGTACAACTTGTGGGCCGTGTCCATATCCAGGTTGGCTAAAACATAGAAAGATGCTGAGTTTCACCCGAGCTAGGATGTTTAAAAATAAATAAACGGTATCCGCAATCTGACACATACTTTTCCCAAATCACACTGTTGCTAAATATTGCCCAATGTATGGGGGTGTTTCAATCAGATCGCCGGCGATTTTTACATCTCCTAGCGACTTGCTGATTGCTTGATTTTTCCTGGCAATCCACCAAATTGGTGGCGATTTGGAGATGGCTGGGCAACAAGAATGCAAAGTGTGGGACTGAGCAATCATGTCAATAATTATAATGGAAGGCTTTAGATGGTTTAAAATTGGACTCAGCTTCCCTACATCATTGGGCTTTGACGCACAAGCTAAGATGAATGAACTATTCATAACTTTATTACTGACTAAAATATATGATCAACGACAGCTGGGTTCAGTTTCAAACCATCAAACGCTACTGAGTTCTCTCAGGATCGAGACAGTAGATTACTAGACGAGCATTATATCCCCCCCCAGCTATGTTCAGTAGCTACCTATCTAGTGTCCAAAAAATGAGATTTATTCTCCATAATAACGAACTTTACACATGACCTACCTTTCACCGCTGCTTTTCCAATTTTGCTGAGCTTCAGCAGGTCACCGTCGACCACCATCGCTCCGCTGTTCACCAGAGTATCCACAGTTTCTCCAATGAGAGACGCTAGGTCCACAGAGAGTCGTGTGGCCTGGACAGCCAGTAGAGTACAGTGACAGAGCGAGTGCAACGCAGAGGTGGTTGCGGCAAGTCCCAGGTCCACCGCACTGATGATGAGACAAGCCAGACCCGTGCCTTCCAACTGGCTGTTACACAAGTCCATTGATGAACTGAGTAGCTCACCCACCTACACGGTTAGGTCGATAGAAAATTTGTTTTAAAATTTGCAGGGATTTTTGTTATTTTGGAACCTGGAAACTGTTCCTGTCTTCAGCTTAGAAGTGGCCTAGGACATGACAAGACTAGTGTACTAACGTCACAGGGGGTCACGTGACATAATCAGGAAGTTGTACATTTAACTCACAGCTAAAACTTTACAATCTGAGGAACTTGTGGTGTATGTACAGGTAGAACTATAAGCTACCCACCTTCTAGGGAAGTGAGTTTGTCTAGTGGTAAAGCACAGGACTTTGGTCCCCAAGGTCCTCGGTTCAAAACCCACCAATCACCAATGGTCAGGATTTTATCTAAAGTCATAATGCTGCGACCTTATGGGACTAACCTGAAGTAATGTGTGAAACAGTTCTTGACAAGAGCTTGCATCCAAAGTTGTGTAGGTGAGATGTAAAATATGTACATAAATTTATATAAACCAACCTTCTGAGCATCTTGTGGCTTGCAGAGAAGAAATGACTCACCGATGTCTCCCATGCCTGTCCTTCCAGCTCTGCCGACCATCTGCTTGTACTTGCTGAGAGTGAGGAGTTGAGCGCCTACATAGGGTGACCTTAGAATCACCTGCAATACCACCACAGTGAAAAAATAAACGGTATCAGCATTCTGACACATACTTTCTCCCATAAGTTTGTCAACAACAACAACCTTTATCAGATTGTGTAAGCGGTGAGAGTAAATATACGGAATTGGGATTAGTATAATCTTGTTAAGAATTTAAAGGACTACTTACAAAATTTTTATCAAAATCGTTTTGGGCCAGTTTAGTGAAAATCCGATTTTTCCGTTATTTTATGGGGTTTTTTATGGGAAAATAACATAATTTACAATAACTTTTGAACCGTAATTTTTACAGAAATGGGATTTGTACCATTTTGTTTAGAATATAAAGGACTATAACATACCAAATTTTTATCAAAATCGTTCTTGCCGTTTTTGGGAAAATCCTATTTTTCCGTTATTTTATGGGGTTTTATGGGAAAATTCCCATAAAAAATTATTTTTTTTTAATGAAAAAACTATCAAAACTTTAAGGACCATAACATACTATGTTAAATTAAAACTGGAATTTTATTCTAAAATCCTATTTTTCGTTATTTTACGGGGTTTTTATGGGAAAATAACATAATTTACCATAACTTTTGAACCGTAATTTTTAGAGAAATGAAATTTGTAGCATTTTGTTCAGAATTTAAAGGGCTACAACATACTAAATTTTTATCAAAATCGTTCGGACCATTTTTGAGAAAATTCGATTTTTCCGGTTTTTTATGGGTTTTTATGGGGAAATCCCCATTAAAAATCAAAATTTCAAAAAAATGAAAAAAACGCCTGGAGATACCATGGATTAGAACCTACATACCAAATTTCATCGAAATCGGACCACAGGTGTAGTCCCTAGCTCTGTACACATCCAGACACACAGACACACACACACACACACACACAGACATCACTTCGAAAACCACTTTTTTGGGTCCAGGGGGACCCAAAACGAATATATCCATTCAAAACTCAAACTCGAAAATTTTGACGAAAACAGTACTTTCTCCATATACTATGGTATAGGGGGAGAAAGTAATAAGAGGAACTTATTCACCTGGTTTTTGAAAGTCATTAAACGAATAGTCATTTAAGCCTAGTTTCAACATTATTTTAAAAATATTTGATAATACAAAAAAAATTTAGTGTACAACTCATGATGAATTCCTGTGGGAAATTATTGTGGGAGAGACCCATTGAATGGCTCAAGTAAAAGTTTATTCTTTGCAATTTGCATCTCAAAAAAAGGTATTTTCCTATCTTTTACTTATTTTGGATTTTAGTTCATAAGGTTAGTTATGCCTACTTAAAATCAGCAATTATCGCACATAAATAAATTAATGAATAATCCTTCGGGCTGCAAGAGATGAAATTCTTGATATTAAGGTTCTACTGATACGTAGCCTACACTATGAACTACTCTGTTTTAGACATTCAAACACAGTTCCTAACTTACCCTTCTGGCTGGTAGGTTCACTCCAGCTGCTAAAGTCGATGTACAACATATACAACAAATTGTTTTTGCCAAGAAAGCCTCTTCGAGAAGATTTCTCTCAGCTGTTGTCAAACCTGAGACAAATTTAAACCAAAGAGATAGTAATATTGAAATTTAAATATTGAAATGGACTGCTGGCATTATTTCTGATATTATAGCTAGACTCATCAATCAATCATTTAGTGAGGGTGAATTTCCAGACTTGCTAAAATTGTCTGAAATCAGACCAATTTTTAAAAAAAGCACACATAATAACAGTCAAAATTACAGACCAATTTCTTTACTCAGTAATGTATCAAACATTTTTGAAAAAATTATTCATCTTTGAATTGCAAATTACCTGGAATGTTACTCAAAACTGTGTCAAGAGCAGTTTGGTTTTAGAAGAAATCTAAGCACACATAATGCTCTTTTTACTTTTATTAGTAGTGTCCTTGAAGCTCTGGATCGGTCACAGTTGACTGCAGGAGTTTTCTGTGACTTATCCAAGGCTTTTGACTGTGTGGACCACAGGTTGCAGCTGATCAAATTGAAGAATATTGGCTTGGAGGGAATGGCTCTAGAATTATTACGATCATACCTATTCAATAGAAAGCAGCGCACGATAGTAATAAAAAATCAATAAAATATTATTCTAACTGGGTCAGCGTTACATATGGTGTTCCCCAAGGTTCCATACTTGGGCCTTTATTATTTATTATTAATGACTTGCCTAATTGCCTTTCCACCAATTCCTGTGCTTTCACTTTGTACTTGAATACAACAATTATTGTCGTGTCGTGATAAAATGTTAATGGATTTGGGGCTGCTAATGGGTTTTTTATTGCATCATCACCCTAGTAATAAATTATGAAGATCGTAAACAAACATCTGATAAGACTTGTATGTGCTCAGAACCAACTACCATTGACTAAGATAGTAAATGATAAGTAATTTATTATTATAATAGGCTGTACCAACCGAATTTGTACCGCGTAAAATGCTGTAGCCTACCGAACCGATGACGGTAATTAAGCTTGTACCGTACCGTACCGGCTTTTTCGGTGCACCGCAGACCCATAGTTGAAATATGTAATGATAAGATGTAGCAGAGGCACCAGGATTTGAACACATTATTTCGTAGTACATTACACTACCCACACACGTATTCTGTACTTTTGGATTTAACCCTTTCAGTGCTAGGCCAATAATTCATATTTTGTAAGACTTTTTTTTTGTTTGCCTTTTAATTCCATTACCTGTTGTTGAATTTTAACTGTCATGTTGTCACTATTTTATTAATTAGGCTAATTTTGAATAATAACACAATAAGAAAATATATAAGAAAGATAAATCCCGCTATTTGTAGTAAATATTAAATAAAACTTAGTTTTTGTTGTAATTTTCCTGGTTTTCCTATAAATTTTTATGTTCTGATAGCATTATTTGAAACCAAAATCTCATAAAATCAAAAGACATATAGTTTACAATGTAACATTGAATTTAAACTTGATTTAGTTGGACGAGGTTATCGTAATATAGCCATTTTAGGGAAACTAATGTTTTGCAGCAAAGTCTCAGGAACACATTTATGATCACTGTTGTGTTTAAACTAAAAGATTGCATCTAAATAGTTCGTGACTAACTGGTGCTGCTACCTAGTAACGCATTGAACAACCATCTGCAGCGCCATCTGTTCGCAATCGGGGGCGAAAGCTTAAATACCGGGTTTTGACTCCCCAGTCTTCAAGCACAGATAGCCGAGAAGGCTAGGGTGTGTGTCACTTGGCCAGTGGCATTCGTCTGCTCGGGTTCGAATCCCGTCCTGTGTGGCAAATAATTGGTGACCTGTGTGTTTGTAGCGATATACTACAACCACTGGGGCATAGTGAGGTGTTCATAATCCTTGGTTTAGACATACACCTCGAAAGCATCGGATTGGGCGAATCTTTTAGCTAAGTGGTTTATAGTGTATCCTATGAACATGCAGGTCACCAATGGCCGTTTTGCTATTTTTTGTTAAAATAACCTTCCTCTCTATATCCCTTAGAGATTTTTTAAAACAACGATATATCGTTTCATAGCACTGAAAGGGTTAATTGATTGCCTAGTGGATTTGACTTAAGAAGGCTGATTTGAAGATGCCACCACAAGAGCTTCTAAACACTTAACACAGAATTCAATAGTGTATTACAGTTGAACCTTGATAAGACTAATTTCAAGGGGTACGGGAAACATTCGTACTATAGAGGTATTCTTAATAAAGAGGGTAATTTTATCGAGGTTTAATGCTGCTGTTATTCTTCTTATAGAGGTTTATCTCCTCGCTCCAAGGTTTCTCCAAACAATGACTGAGGAAGGAAGAGAGATGGGTGGGGGTTTCGTGTTGAGACAAGCTTCTGTTTGTTTTGAAAACTACTTACAAAGGTTAAAGGTTAGGAGGTTAAGATTATGAGAAAATCGTCTTATAGAAGTCACGTTCGTCTTGTAGAGGTTTTGTGAAGAATATTCGTTGTATAGAGGTTTATCAGTCCTAGCCCATGTAACAAACAAATTTGTCTTATGGAGGTTTTTAACTTAACTAGTGTCCCTGTTGCTCGAATTCAAGCAATTTCTAAGTATTACATACAGGCATTATTTTAAAACTAATAACAATCATAATTTCTGATGACTTTAAAAGATTTGACTCACAGATTATGGAAATACTCAAGATGTACATAACAGATCGATATAATCAACATTTCTTGTAAATATCTTATAATTTTTCAAAAGCTAATCTTGTTTTTTAGTGTTTTCTACAAACAGCCTTACTAATATAGCTGCATTAGGTTGACTATAATATTGTAAAAAAAAACATTAATGGGACTCAGGGCCTCACTCTCTCATTATTTCCCTAAAAAGAAAGTTTCCCTGCACAACTTCACGTTACGCTCATTCCAATGACACCAAAAACATGTCAATCGGTTCAGTAGTTTCGGAGGAGTAATTGTCACAAAAATCCTGCTTGCGTATTAAATAAGTATAGAGGTGTTTTTAGCATTGGCCTATATGAAAGTTTCAAGGGGATTTAAAAAAAATTTGTCTAATCGAGGAATTTGTTTTATCGAGGTTCGTACAAACGATGTTTGACTGTACATCAAAATTACTCACCTGAATGGTGATAAGCAATGCCGTAAGGTAAAGTTTTTCTCAGTATCGGACACACGGTACCATTCCCTTCGGACACCAACGCTCTAAATAAAGCCTTCTTCTCCTCTATCTTGTGTTCTATTATGTTTCTGGAAAACACAAAGAGATTTATTACACATTACACCCTTACTTATGTATCTCAAGGACATATAATTTATGTTTATAAGATAGGTCTAGAAAATTTCATAAGATTGTTGATAGTTCATTTAAGTGTAAGTGATTGAAAGTTTTTAATGGGAATTGGGAATCAAACGAATTTTTTTTGTTTGCATAAAGAAACATATTGAAATATTTTGTTAAATAAACCAAAAGTAAACTTTTCATCCTCAGGTTGCGCTTGTTTGTGATAATGTCAACAAAAATGTGCATTTTTTTTTGTAAGCTTTACAGTGTGAGTTTACAAACAAATTCTTCTATTTGATTGTAAGAATTCATAAGTTGGTAAAGTAACAAGAAACAAATATGCTGAACATCAACACACACTCTGCATATTGGTAGGCTACTGGACAGAAAATACGTTAAAACCTGCCTTCTGGCCATGAGAATGATGTGCTGTGAAGAAGTTAATTCTATGTCAAAACTAAACTGCTCATTAACTGCTAAACTGTTGTACAACTAAAATAATTGTAAAACTTACTTCCCAAGTACATTACATATCAGAGAGGCCACATTCTCACAGTTCTTCTTGGAAGGACAAAAGACAAGACATGAATGTTCAGGAATAACTTCTAGCACGAGCGCACCCACTTGGTCTGGATCCTTTTGTTTCTGTTCTTGCGAGTACTGTTCAACAACGAAAACAGATCAAACATAAGTAGCCTATAATGTTACTGACTTTGGATACCTACTGAGTAAGACATACTACTGGACAATTAGGCAGCTGTGGCCAGTTTTCAATCAAAGAGAATATAGTTCATAGAGTATGCTATAATTAAAGTTCTACGTTCTCTGTGATAGTTCAGGCTATAAATGATTCTATAATTTACTTTGCCCCTTCAGTTTGTCATGACTAAAAAGTTCAGAGCACTCTGTTGGTGGTTTTATTTGACCAATTGTGTAAATAATAGCTGGGTTGTGTGGTTCTAGTGTTTTCTAGTTTATCACAGAATAGTTAATTGCTAATTTACTTTGGAGGTATGTAACTTTTAATAGCAGCATTTGTCATAAGGATTATATTTATGATAGCTAAATAATCAAATGGTCTTAGCGGGTATTTCTAGCTGCTGAATTCCGGAGCTGTGTTTTTCAACATCGACTGAGCATAGAAGGGTCAAGTAAATTCCTATGGCATTTTCCTAGCAGCTAAATTCGGCAAGGAAAACTCAGTGGCTAACGGCTTGCATAACATTCAAAATTCCGTAGCTAGGAATATCTGCCACTAAGTCTTCACAGTCTGTCACTAATATCATGGAGAGCTCTGTTCACTTTCAAACTGGTAAAAAGTGTTTAAGATTTTATTGTTATTTAATCAGCAATATTAAATACCCTAGGTGAGATCTTTGACTGCCCAGCTAGATAGCAAAAAAAAAAAAAAAAAAAAAAAAAAATACAAAACAGCAATTTAAAAATTCTAAACATATCTGCAATGTGCTGAGCCATATTGTATAGGCCTACCTCAAAAGAAATCTTTGATTGAAACACAAGTGGAACTTCTTCCTCTATTGAGTAGTCAACTTTGAAAAGTTCTTCTTCGACCTTTACAAATTCAGTTAATTCTACAGGTCGGAAGTCCTGAGTGAAAACATCAGCGTGTAAAAACGTGGCGATGTCTCGTAAATTTCCGATGGTGGCACTCATTCCTATTATTTGAACACTTCCTGGAAAGTATTTAATATCATTACAAGATTCCATTTATTTACAACAGTTAACTGTCTCAATCTCAACTAGACAACAAACTTTGAAAGTACAACTAAATTATTCTAATGAAACAGAAGTAATGTATCTATTCAAGAAATAAAATACCGGGCCATTACATGAGACAATTGCATAAGAATTATATAATGATAAACACAAACAAACATTATAACCTAAACTCACAAGAGGTAAGAGGTTTCAGGAATGTAGCTGATCTAGTCTTTAGTGTGCGACTTCTATCATGAGGGATTGGGTTGAAATTCCTCCAATCACTAATGACTATTAAATTGATGAAAATCAGGTTTCCCTATCAAGAACAAAGGTGTATAGGTTTCTCAGGCAAGAAGAATTGTCTCTGTTTTGGATAGCTCCCACCACCAAAAGCCATACAACTGGTTTCTTGAGACGCAATATTACACATGAAACAGGAACCTTACACCCAAACTCAGCCTGTTTCACCGCCACAAATTGGACTGAAAAAGCTTGGAAGCATTTAAAATTAAAATTAGTTGCGCTGAGTAAATATACTCACTTTGATAACACAGTGGAAGTAAGTTTTCAAGCAAGCTTCTATACTGAAATAATAGTATTATAGTTTCTGTGGAACATACCTTTTCTGTACATCATTTTGGTGAGCATTGATTCCAAATGAGCTCCTCGTTTGGGTTCACCCACTAAATGAAGCTCGTCCACAACAATAAGTCCGAGCTCCTCGATGCGTTCACACTCTATCAGACTGTGGACAAGACCCAGCGCCTTCTCAATCGTAGCCACGTAAACGCTGCGTTTTCTACGTCGTTTTTGTGGCGGGTAACCTCCTTTACTGCCAGCGTACTCCTCCACTATGAATCCTAACTCTAGTGCAAATGGGGAAAGAGCTCTCACCTGATAACACAATAAGATTGTTATAGGCAAAGTACAAATAATTAATGAAGAAGTATATGTGTAATATGGGGCTAACAAACAAAATTAGATTGTTCTTTCAGAGGTTTTCGATTAGGTTATATTTCCACAACACTGTCATACCAAAGTGTGCATTTTAAAGAGAAGATGAGTATGTTTTGTATGAGAAGAGCTTAGTTACTGATTAAGATAACCTTTACATCAAGCAATCTAACAGTGTGAGCATAAAAAAAAACAATTTTACTTCTGTAGATTTCAAAGTCAATTCATTCCCACTATAATTATTAGAGGGAATAATAATTTTCATTCATCAAATTTCCATGCTCGGTAAATAGAGGCTTTTGGAAGGGCTGGACTCCACTTAGATTTGTTGTGTTAGAAGTACAGTGTACCTACCCTGAATTCTCTCTACTGACCTTTTAAGTTATCGTTAAACTTCAATTCACTAGAAAAAGATGTTATTAATTTAAAAATAGTTTTGTGAAAAAACTAAATGGCAGCTATACAGGTAATTTTTAAGTTTTTGAAATTTAAGTTTGTCTTGGTGCAGGAATGATACCTTAAAAGGTTGGTAGAGTTCAGGGATACCCTGTGGCTATGAACACAATTGGTAGGGAGGGATAGAAGTTGTAATTAGATTGGCTGGTACAACTCCATTATTGGTTATTTATTACTGCAGATTAATAGTTTGCAAATACTAGTAAAACTTTGGTTATCTGATATTGGCTATTAGCCTAAGCTAAGATAGCCATGGAATCCCCACCTAAAACGATCAGGGTATGGCAGCTTAAAGATCTTAGAAAGTGAAATAGTCTTTTTTTTATCATACCTTCTCTTGTGCTAAGGAAACATAAGGCAGCACGAATAGGACATTTTTTTCTCTGCACATGATTTCTTTTAAGATCAATATTTCAGCAACCAGTGTCTTTCCTCCACTAGTAGGTAAGGCGTAAACCAAGTTTTTCCGCTTCTTTATTGCCGGGAGGTTCAGACATTCCTCTTGCCATTCTACAATGATGATAGGTAAAAATTTACAGATAATCCTTACAAAATGTTTTTTTTTTCAGAAAAATAATAAACGATCATTGGTTTAACCATTAATATGATATCTTGATTCCACTACGTATATGTATCCGGATTAAGGAATATTGTGGTAAAAAATTAGATAAAAATCCTCTTTTTACAGAACCTGTATCATAAATTTTACACCGAACTTGTTCAAATACAACTACGGTATCTATCCAAAGAAACAGAATTACCAGCTGCTAACAGAGCACTAGCGCAGTGGTAATATTAAAGCTTAGTCTATAGCCTATCACGATTTTCCCCTTCAAATTCCTCTAAGCTTCAAGAGACTTAAGTACAGACCCGAGGTTAGTAAATGACGCGCTAGAGAGGTAGTTGTGCCACCCCCCCCCCCCCCCCATGATATGAATCTTAAAATCCCTATTTTCATTTTATGATTATGTTTCACACGGTTATATTGCACGGGCATCCGCAATATAACAACGATTTTTGCTCATTTCACAAAAATAATGCTATGTAAAATAAAGAATCTCACAGAATAAATGAAATCAAGCAAAAACACAACAATGAATCACTGTCCAACTGATATGTTTAAAATGATTTCAATTATTTTTGTGCTAAAAAATATTTTCTGTTGCTTGCGCCTCCAACAAAACAAAAACCTCTTGCGCCCCTGGGCCCAGGCCCATTCATAACTACAGTCCTGCTTAGGTACCATTAATTTCTACTTTAAATAAGCTAAAAAAACATTTCCAGTATTTAAGCAGTTAGGGCCCTACACCATAAGAATGCCCATGAAAGATCTTTAATCCTATACTCTTAAACAAACACGTTTACAGACAAATATTTACCTATATTCGTCCAAGAATTTTTTTTTAATATGGGGTAAGGTCGAAAAAGGGATTGAAGACATTAAACCATGAGAAATTGATTGGAGTTGGTCTCAAGGTTGGGGAAAAATCCAGTTTCCACCCTCCCTTGTAAGTGCCCATATTATCGTCAATACCTTTTTGTAGCTGCAGTTAATAAACAGCTTACACAGGTTACTTTACTGCAATCTATCTATGTAAATGTGTATTAAAATAATTTATTTGTATTATATAAAATGTGTTTACATTGATTACCGTCCATAATTAATATCTTTAATATTGCTAATTAGCTGATACAATAAATTTAATGTTTAATTCAATACACGAGCAAAGCTCGGTCTCCTGGTAGGCCTACTGTGAGACTAAAAATAAGTTAAAATTAAAAAAGAAATCTTAGCCTAGTTTGATTTAAGTACACGTACACAGTAAACATGATACTTACTATACAAATCCTGAATCCCTTTGTAGCGTTTAATCAGGCTCTTTACATGTTCTGGAAGGCCAAAGAATGAAGAACTACTACAGTTGCTACATGAGGTCAATAATGGTTTGGGTGAAGCCGTTTTATGAGCATTGTTGGAAAGAGCATTTTTAATCATCCCTTCAAATGACAACCTTTTACCCTCACGTTGTGAAGAATATTCTCTTGAAGGAACCCAAGTATCCAGTATAAGATCACTTAGTCCAGGAGACATAAGGAGTTTTTTGGAAGCACTTTGTGGTTGTTCAGGAAAAGGTCCGTCTTTATCTTCAACTGTGATTGACATGTCCCACGGTTTATCTTCTTCATTATTTTCTGTATTGCAGAAAATATCGGGTGATTCTTTATAAATCTTTTGATTTGTCTTTTCAAAGATCTTGTTTTCAATTTCAGATAATGGCTGTATGCCTTTTATACTTACTTCACTGTTAAGACCGAAGCATTGCTTCTTGGCGGTTTTATCTAATGTAGCATCACTAAAAGACAAATCAATCTTCTCCAAGAGTGAATCATCAAGTTTTAAAAGATCGTCTTCCATCATTGTTTCTTGATCTATTAAACAATTATCATTCTTACACAATTTGTTTTCTTCTAACACAGATTTCCCACTAATAGATGCAGATTTGAATTCCCCGCTACTCATGTGGAATTCAATCTTCAACTTCTCGTGAGAACATAAGCTGTTAAATTCAGAACTAGGATTGCTTTCCGATTTTGTCATTACAAATGGAGATTTTTTAATAACAATTTTGTCACTTTGATACGTTCGAACATTATTGTTTTCACAGTAATCATTTGAGTAAACTGGAAATGATTTATTTACTCTGGATAGTCCTACACTTCTTCCTTTTATTCTCTTCATCTAAAAATGTAGGTATTATGTATTATGTAACTCCATCACTTTGGGTGAGTGCATGGTAAAAACAAAGTACTGTATATGAAATCCTTGAATGAACATAGTTCGCGACCTGAAAATAATAGAAAGATTATGTTTAAAAATATCTGAGTTAAAATGTTGTCATCTAAAACTACCGGCATGGTTAACCCGGCATGGCATTACTTACTTTGGTGTGTAAAAACCTCTTGTAGCATGACACTAAAACTGGCGTGATTTAGTAGCGCCACTGCTACATGCTAGAGATTAGCATCAATAATCGATGTTCGATGTTTTTTTACATCGATGGTAGGTTACTGATGTTTTTGGCCAAGTATTGAAATATTGATGTTTTCTATAAGTTAAATGAATTGTATTGTTTTTATGAAAATGTAAATAGGTACTTTGGTATTATCCGGAGGCCACTTATTTAAGAGGGATTTTTTACCGAAGACCAAAAATAACGGTAATTGGAAGGAACATACTTTAATTGACTTACTGTCCAAATTTGACATGACTACGATTGGCAGCCTTTGAGTTCTGCCAGCGAGGATTGAGTTGAATGCATCACCGCTGCTAGCTGCCACATAGGCTATACTCCACCAAGTAGGTATACAGCGTGCTGCGGCCGTTATGTAAGTTGGGTTATGATAAATATGTTTGTAGGACTTTCCTTGTTTCGTTATGAATCAATAAATTGATAGCAGATGAGTCATACTTTCGCCCGCCAAATACCCCCAGATACAGGAGGTGACAGGTGGATGCGCGCGCTCCGGTCATCGACCTGACCTTAGCCTACTTGGAGGGGTGAAAGTAAGTCTCATCTGGTATCGCTCAATTCATAACAAAACGAGGAAAGTTACGAGGAGGAGGAGTTAAACGAGGAGGTTTACATAGTTAACATATTTATGATAAGCCAACCTAACATAACCGCCGCATCGCGCTGTATAAGAGTGGCCACTGGATAATACCAAAGTACCTGTAGGCCTAAATGTTAACTTATGTTGGCCAGAAATTGAATTTTAGTATTTATTTTATTGAAAGACTGATAAAATATTGAATCCAAAAATATCATGACAAACTGGACTAGAAATGATTATACATTACCGTACCCAAGGGAGCTTGTTCTAAGCTACATTAAGATCAATTTAAATTTGTAAAGATGCAGCACTCCTGCTCTCCAAAATAATAAATTACTAGGCCTTCCAATATTTATTTCCTCTTGCAAATGTGAAAGAGAAACTGCCAATCTAGCATGTCTAGCTATAACGATGATTGACACTTCGATGTTACTACCATCAATGGTTGGCCTAATCTATGCTCATTCCTACTACATGCTAGTGTAAATCTAGCTTTAGCCAACTGAGCTAGGTACCACTGGCAATTTGAAATACAGTAGGTAGCCTTAACCTAAACCTAACTTATTTGTTAAACTCTAGTTTGAAACTTTATTTGTAATTACTGTAAGATGCTGGCAAGCTGTTTTAAGGTTAAACAACGAAGCTAAAAAAATAATGGAGGAAATAGGCCTAGTTAAAAGATAAACATACCTTCAACTAAAAATGCTTTACCAATCCAGAATGAGGGTTTATATTAATAGGCTTTAATCAGGCTACCCTATGATATTGCTCCTAGTACAGTAGGCTACCTGTTTTGTTGTTTTGTTTCTATATCAGTATTCAGTACAGTACTATCAGTACAGTAGTACCTGTAACCGTAAGACCGTAACACTGCGCTGCAAGTAAGTTACGGCACGGCTCCGACTAATGGAGTGAAATGTGGAAATTACACAATAAATTAATAGTCAAAAATTACACTTAACTAAACTAAATGAATGAATGACTATGGCTATGGCAGACGAAGACGGAAGACGAAGACAAATAAAATAATAAATCCCAAACAATTAAACAAACCAAAGAAAAGGCTGTAGAGTAGACTCAGCAGACTGTTCGATTTCGATTCTACTTTTACCGCGCTTTCGGCAAACAGCTGATCGAATGCCTCCCATAAAGTTTTGATGTTCCCTAAATTCATCCTATCCTACTATATACTATATAACATTCCATAGATTATAGAACTCTTTAATTGTATTATCTGGCTGCTCAATATGCAATGAGTATTTTGGTTTTATGTGTTTATGTGTATCTTAAAAATAAAGAGTACCTATCCAATATATTTAAAAAATGGTTTTTCTTTTCCGAGTTCGTTTGGATCTCCTACCAGACCGATGTTCATTATTAAGGCCTCAAATTAATATATGAACGTAATCATCTTATTTTGACTAATTTTAAGCAATGTTTGCCTGAATTTTTAGATTATTTCAAATTTTAATTAGGTGGAATTTTTATTTCTGACTATTATTGTATTGCCTTTTTTATATTTTACATTTCTTTTTTTACAAGCATCTAGCCTATCAATATAAAGAAAGCGACTTGGCTTATAATGTATGTGTATTAAAAATACATTAAAAATCTCAAATATGAATGAAAGGTAGATTAATCTTAACAAATAAACAAATTACAGTTTAGTTACACAAAACAACGATAAATGTACAAATTTAAGCTACACTCATGCTAACATGAACCGTCTAGGGGTTATGTTTTCACAAACTCAAATAGTAAATAAATGTACTCAATGTGTTTCATTGAATTGAAAAATAACTAACAGCTGATCAAAATGTAAACAATTATGTTCTTCATAAGGATAACATGGGAACTTTAACAGCCACTGGGGCAGATCCCAAGGGACTTTTTCAAAAATGTAAGGCCAGTTTGCAAATATAGGCGACACGCTCTTTCCAATGAGACGTCAATGGATAAATTCGGTTGAGAAATGGCGGAGGAGTTCAACCGACAAAGTTTCATGTAGCTATTAATTATATAGATTAATTAATTCTAATTAGAATTGAGTGAAGAACCCCAAAACTAGCGATGTGTTCCAACTTTGATTGATTGATGAACAATTTTATACAAACGTTTAAATTATTTACTCTAACAAGATTGAGAACCACAACCATCGGAATATGAAAACAAGGTTATAACGTTTTAAGGGGGAAAAGTTTATTTTTCCCTTTGTGACCATAAATCAAATGACACGAGGTATTTAAACCATTTAGAGCACCAAAAACGAATTATTTAGTACATACATTGATACCATTATGATACCATCATTGATACCATACATGATTTATTATCACTTTGTTATTACCATTGTTATTACTTTTCTAGTTAGTAATATTGCAAATGCCATCTCAATTGTATACACATATTTTGTAAAAAGGTGCAATCCGTTGGGAAATAAATAAATACCGGTATGCAGTGCCAGTGTTTGTTTCAGTTTTTTTAGTAACCCATTTCACTTACAGGGAATTGGAAAATAAAACATGCTGCATTATTACTTTCATTCAACATATTGTATATTTTCATTTTATTTTGTAACATCAATAATTCTTTGACATAGAAATCTTACAAAACTATGTAGATACAGTAGGTTACTGTGTATACACTTGTTAAGAGAGGTAGGTAGATGACCAATAGTAAACAAAAAAAAAACATTATTTTGGCTCCTGTGAGCTGTAAAAGGTTGAAGGTTGAAAAGAATTTCTTTTCGCCCATTTTTTTTATGAGGTTGGTGGTTTCTTTTAATTTTCCATTTGCCCGTCCACATAGACTAACTGCCCGTGGGTGGATCGTTGTATACAGCAAAGCAAGGGGTGAGCCGATAGCCCACAACATTGCTGCCTGGGGCCCTTAGTCCGAGACGCTATCGACTGAGCCACTGACTGACCAAAATTTATTTAAAAAAATTATAAGGTTGTTTTATTTAGAACATTTCATATTTTAATCTCCTGCTTTATGGGAAAACTGTTTTAAGACTAAAATGTATTACTACTAAATGTTGTTTATAAGTGGTCATGGGATTGAGTTTAGTTGCACTGGAATCAGCCCTCAGGTATTTACAACAGCATACTCAGAACAAACAATTTATAAAAAGGTCATGTGTATAAAGATGTTTTGTGAAAATGTACCTATACACAAATTGGTACACAAATTGCAGTGCACATCTTCTTAACACAAAAATAGTATTGTTATTCTTCCTATGCAACCTGAAGAGTAATATTCAATATTTTTATTAACTGAACTTTTTCTCATAAAAATCTTATCTTCAAACAAGTCAATTATGAGTGAAAATTTAAAAACGTACGTTTTCAGGAAAAGCACTTTGCAATTTTTTTTCCCCTTTTTTCAAAACTTTTATTATTATTTTTATTTCATTAACATTTGAAGTTTCATAAAATGCCCATGGTAACGCAATATCTTTGGTATTTTTTTTAAAAAAAGAGCATCTTTAGTGGAAAAACACAAAATCCTGTCACGACCATAACAGACGTTAAAATGAATATTAAAAATAGTTAATATTATTTTTATAACTATGTTTTGCTATGAACTAATTTACTTTTATGACCATTATACAATAAAAAGGTCACTGAGCTTTTGGTATATTTGGTCTTTCTAAAAAAAAATAAAAAAACTCAAAAAATTGAAAAAAAGCCAATAAAATCTTTTTAAGTTTGTATAACTCCGAAAAAACTTACCTGAGACCCGAAAAATCGTTATGTTTGTATAGAGGTGTGCTTCTTTTGTGTATAAAACATTGAAATATGACGATATTTTAATTTTTGAAATTTTTATGATAGAACTCTTATACTACATCTGGACAAACATTAAGTTATTTTCATCATTAAAAAAAAATAACAAACTATTAATACAGACAGATTATGTTCTGTTTGTCAAACAAATCATATCTCCTGGCAAATGTTAGAGTGAAAATTTAAAAACGTACGTTTTCATGTCCCTGGCCTTTTACTTCGTAGATACTGGATTTGTAGTTTATTATTATGTATTTTAATTTTTTTGGGACGGGGGCAACATTTTACACACATTTATTTGGTTTTAAATAGGTTCTAGGTATTTTTTTCGTATTTTTAAAGTCTCTAAATTCACGACCATGACGTGTCCCTAGGGTACATTTTCCAACTTTCACGCTGTTTTTAGACTAATTATTCATGCCGAAATATATAAAGCCATATTTTTATGTCATCAATAGTTATTAAACTTACAAAAAAGGAGTATATTATAATTTTAGTGTCATTGCAAACTGACTACCATGACAAAATAAGTCTGTCCCTCGATTTGGCGTCACGACCATTTGGGAAAAATTTTTAACTTTGGAGCACGACAGTGGCAAGCCTGGCGTCGATTGCGTCAGTTCGTTTTAGAGACTAGTTCGGGGTGTACGTCAAGTTTGTTGTGCCGGTCGTTTTGTGTTGAAAGAAATAGTTACAAGATTAATAAAGGTAATTTTGTGTTTTTTGTAATTTTGGTGTGTCCATGACCATACGTAGTCATTTGATGAAGTAGACGTGGGGTTAATTTTTGTTGATATGATATTTCAATTGCTACATTAACCTAGAAGTCCACTTTGTATCCTCGAACATGAGGTACAGGGCTACCGCCAGAACAGAGCCAAATAACACGTAATGTCACGACCAAAGTTTCACGACCATCGCGGGTTTTTTCACGACCAATCTAGCCTTATGGATTATACTGTGTTTGGTCGTGACAATAACTTAAATATCATTGTAAATTGAACAGTTTAGTTCAATTGAAACACATATTTTTATTATAACTAACAGTATAATTGAAGGATTGTTTACAAAGATTTAAATTTTTCCAGACAATTCACGACCGTACCGCTTGTCCCTGACCATCACGTTGATGATTTCTATCATAAAAATTTCAAAAATTAAAATATCATCATATTTCAATGTTTTATACACAAAAGAAGTACACCTCTATAAAAACATAACGATTTTTCGGGTCTCAGGCAAATTTTTTCGGAGTTATACAAACTTAAAAAGATTTTATTGGCTTTTTTTCAAGTTTTTGAGTTTTTTTATTTTTTTCTAGAAAGACCATATACACCAAAGGCTTAGTGAGCTGTTTATTGTATGATGGCCATAAAAGTAAATTAATTAATAGCAAAACATAGTTACAAAAATAATATTAACTATTTTTAATATTAAGTTTTATGTCCGTGATGGTCGTGACAAAATTTTGTGTTTTTCCATCAAAGATGCTCTATTAATAAAAAATCACCAAAGATATTGCGTTACCATGGACATTTTATGAAACTTCAAATGTCAATGAAATTAAAAAAATAAAAAAGTTTCAAAAAACGGAACAAAAATTTTTTAAAGTGCTTTTCCTGAAAACGTACGTTTTTAAATTTTCACTCGTTAATGAGCTTGTATAATATCTTGTATATTTTATTGGTGATATTTGGCATCCATTTCTCATCTTTCTAGTTATAATTATGAGGTGATTATTCTTGCATAATCATGTGACACATCATTACCTGGATTTCCGGGCTCAAAAACAGTGCTGCCTCATGACCTAGTTTGTCAAAATTTATTGTTCAAAAAGCAATTAAGTCATACTGAACAAGTCACTTTTATATAGATAGTTATTTTATAAGATCGTTTAAAGGTTTGGTTATATTTGATGGGTTATATCTTTTGTTCTTTTAGGCTCAAAAATTTAATTAATTTGAACTTTTCCATGTTCACTTGATGGTGTAACATTGTTCAAAATTAACACAAATAATAGTAGGTACCATTCACAGCCAAGTGCTTTGAGAGCAGAATTTCTGTGCACTTCTCCCATGGTTTGAACATTTGATAGATTAAACTGTCCTAACATGCAATATCCAACAAGTATCTTAAAAACTTTGAAAAATATTTGGACCATCTGGAATTATTCTCTCCTTACTTTCCGCCTATACCAACTTATTCTTGTAACATTTTCCTCAATCAAGTTATCCTTCATCATCATTTAAAAGTATGTAACTCTTTTAGAGTTATACCTACCTACTTATTTGTTTTACTACTTTTTTTATGTTTCCAAGCAAATATTATAAATAATGTATACACTGTGCTATGCAATAGGAATACATTTTTACATGCAACATTATTGAAGAGTTACGTAGAAAAAAACCCTACCTATCAGCTAATTTTCTTATCCAATGAAATCTTATGATTATATGTAGTGAATTTTAAATCTTCCAAGACCTATTAATCACAAAAGTATGCCTTAAGTCAGGTTTTCCTAGGTGCGGAAGCTGAGTGTGGAGAGAGGAACACGGAGAGCGGACTCCTCTTATCTTAGGTAATTTAATGTTACTGTTTTCCTACGAAGCGGAGCGGAATGCCATGTTAACCGCTTCTCCGCTCTCTGCGCTCCGCACTCCTCTTCCGCGTCTAGGAAAACCTGGCTTTACAGAATTATAAAGATTTATGGTAGTTAGAAAAATATATTATCAACTTTTTCAATTGACTTGCAAATTTACATGACAAAAAACAAAACATTATTGAACAAAAACCAATACATATACTCTATCTACCCAAGGATATTTTAAAATGGGTCCAAACTCAATATTTAATTTAATTTGGTTTTAGCTTTCTTAAAAGCATTTGAATGAAATACTTTGATGAAAACATGGTTTTCAACGGCTATAGTTTTGGTTGGATAGTAAAAGATATTAAAAATTTCTAGGAAATCGATCAGTTGGAAACTAACACTAAACTTAAATTTACACATAATTTAGTTACATATTCAAATTTAGCTCAGGCCATAACATTTATAGCTTAGACACTTTGTACAACTTACTATAGTCAAATACAATAGGAACATGAGGGCCAAAATGAAAGTATTCCATTTAACATGCAAAAATGGAAGTGAGGATAGCCACCAGTGTAAACCGCACATATTCAGTCCAGTAGCTACTATATTTATTTAGTAATTGCATATATTTGTTTACTTGCATTATTATGATAAATAACCCAGTAGGCGTCCAACTGGATTCCAGCCCAGCTGGTTGGGCGTAGTAGGGTGGTCCAACTGGATGTAAATAATATGTAACATTGACACAGACTTAGTAAACAACAGAGTTTAATCATTTGACAAAACAGTCTCAAAAGCTGTGGACTGATCGATGCGGTTTACTGTTTTCCAAAGTTAAAAAAATAAAGTGCTTTAATTGGCCCCATAAACTGTGCATGTACAACATTCAGCACAACAATCATATTTTGACACTTAAAAGCCAGAAATAACATTGAATTCCTATTATGAAATCTGTCACACTTACAACATAAACTTACTCTAAATGGAAACGAAACGACATAATAATACAAATACATACAAACTTTTCACAATCACTCTTGTCTACCTGACTACTGAGCTAAATTCACTACACTAAGTTCTCCAATCACAGGCAAGTTAGTTAGATGTAATAATCCAAAGCTCTCATGAAAGTATTAAATAGTTTCCAAGACAGTACAAATAGTAATTGTGTTACCAGTGATGGGAAATAATTAATAAAGCCATGGGATACAGAGAGATTACAATCTAGATATATCAGAGGCCACTTTTACATCCCAGATACTACCTTTAGGAACTTATCTTTAGGATTAATACTACCTGAAATACTAATTTTAGGGCTACTGAACAACAACAAACATGAATGGCCATAGTTGCAATACTAATTTACAAAGATTACAAAGAATTAAAAAGGTTTAATTATTTTCAATTTCAATGGATTGAAAGAACAAAGTATTTTACAAAGAATAAATCCAAAAATCATCCCACCCAGTCTTTACTGTACTTCTGTTTTGTGGTTTAGTGTTCAATTTAAAGTAATTAGTGCAGAGAAAAAAAATCATGACTTGTGTATAAGATAAACCTACAAGTCATATGTAGCTGTCTAAAACATCCGAAGTCTGAACTGAACGGATTTGAACGAGAGGGATTCTATTGTATTTGTTGTCTTAGAGATGTTTATGTAGTAGCTTGCAAATTAAATGTCCTAACTAAAAATTGTTTTGGGTAAGTTTTACTATTACCTGTACCTACATGAAAAAGTGTGATGTATAAACAACCATCAGCAATCAAATATGGTTGCTAAAAACCCCTTGGACAAGTCGAGTTTCAACAGGACTGCTGTATCGCCCTGGGATGTAAGAGTGGCACGGGTCGAGTGTTGTACGGAGGCGTCTACTTGGGTGGTTGCGCCTTGGAGAAGCTGAGTGCAGTACGCAGTTTGTGCCTCACCCGAGGACTCGTCCACTTAGACCCGACACCCGGCATCGGAGCAAGCTCTTTGGGCGACACTCCTTCGTCTAGCTCATCCGCCTCTGTTTTAATCTCCATTTTCTGTAAGATAAAAAGTCAAAACGATGAATGTAGTGGCATATGAAAGTTGTAGGGCCTTGATGTGGATACTTGATGTGAATATCTCAGCAGATAGCAAATTTAAAGAGCAAAACCATTTTTTAAGGAAGGCTTGAATCAAGTTTGCATCAGAATTTAGATTCAAGTGGAAGAAGTATGTACTTGTTTGTAACAGTGAGTTTAACAAATACTGGGAGCAAATAAAATAAGAAAATGGAAAATGTATACATTTATTTAACATGCATTATTTCTTTGAATTTATAATTCATTTGTCAGTTGAAGTTGGTCTCTTTTAAATGTTTTATGACTGTACACATCAGTAAACAATATTTCTATATTATTTTAAAGTCTTAATGCATTCCAGAAACAATCTAATCACCTTAAAATCTTTTACTGTAAGTAAATCAACTGTGTATTTTTCACTTTTGCTACACAGTACCTGCACAATCAGTCGTAAAAGTTGCTGTTGAGTTTCTAGATGTTTTGAGATATTCTTCAGCTTTGACTTCATCTTGTCCAGTTCTTCACTCATCAAGTCTTCATTGTTCTCCAACACCATTTCCAGACCTGGAATATTTCATAATCTCATAAATAAAGCAGTGTTTTTTAACTGCCTGAGGCTCTTATAAAATAGGTACCGGTAGTGATGGAGTACATTTTTATATAAGTCACATTGGCAATTCAGGAGGCCGAATTGACCAAGCCCATTGGCTTGGGCTCTTAGTGAGTCATGGTTGGGTTATCTAATCAGCCAAAGATTGGTACCACTAAATTACCAAGTCCAGTTGCAATTGACTATACAGCAGGTTATGCCAGTTAATTTATTAAATAAAAAAAATAAATGATAAATATTCCTAGGTACCATCATATACAAAATATTGCAGCTAGGTTTATTATCAAACAACATGCATTTACCGTCATCAGAAAACGGATTGCAAAGCCATTTCCTCAGCATCTGGTCAAAGAAGCCCAGCTTGGTCTTGTCGTTGGGATATTCTATCAACTCCATCTTGTCCACCTTCTCCAGGAGTACTTGAGGCAGTTTGCGCTCCAACTCCGTGTGGAGGACCACCTGCAAAGATGGAAGAAAATATATGTTATAGAAAAGAGAAGTTAAAACAATGTTAAATTACAGAAAAATTGTAAATTAATGGTGATGCTGTTTTCAAATAATGCATAGTTAATGTGGAGGCCCAAACAAGCTATGATCTATTATTTAGGGGTTTCTAGTCTCCTGGCTGAGCTAGTAAACCTCTTCCATCCTCATCAGCTACCTGAACAAAGTAACATTTTAGTCTACTTTAGTTCTCTAGGGTTTGCAATCACAACGAACAAGCAGATACACACACAGATTATATAGTGCCACACAGATAGTAAAAATCTTTATTTTAAATATTACAGTCGGACCTCGGTAAAACAAATTCCTCGATAAGACAAAATGTTTAAAATCCCCTTGAAACTTTCATAAAAGCCAATGCTAAAAATACCTCTTTACAACGTAGTAATTATGCTAAAAACCTCCATAAGACAACTTTGTTCGTGACATAAGCTGGACTGATTAACCTCTATGCAACGAATACTCTTAGCACAAAACCTCTACAAGACGAATCTTAACCTCCATAGTACAAATTTTTCAAAACAAACAGAAGCTTGTCTCAACATGAAACCCCCACCCATCCCACTGTGCAGAGGAGAAAACTCTATAAGACGAATAACGGCAGCATTAAACCTCGTTAAAACGAACCTCTTTATTAAGAATACCTTGATAGTACGAATTTTTTCCCTACCCCTTGAAATTCGTCTTATAGAGGTTCACCTGTATATACATAAGATAATACTAATCAATCAAATACATCAATCATACCTGCATAGCCAATCGCTTGAGTTGTGCGTTTCTCCTGACAGACTCGATGTCTCCAACAGCCAAACCGATAAGTAGGTTCATCAGGAGGATCGGCATGAACACCATGAACAAAGCTAGAATCAGGAACGACGGAACAGGGAATGGAAGTGTTCGCTTTTCCTCCTCCGGAATATAAAACGGTTGAACATATGTTCCGAGGAAATCAATCTCTCCCAGCATCATGGAGAATGTTCTCACCAACGACATTGGAACTGTCTTGAAGCTTAAGTGGTCTCCCTGCAATTAAATTTGAATTAAGAATTTAGAAAAATGTTTAAATTTTACACAGAAATGCTTATAATGAATGAGATGTATTTGTATCTAATGGAGCTTCAACTTATCAGTGTGAGGTGATTTGTTAGCAAAGCTAAATTAACTTGGATTAGAGTTGTCAACGGATTAAGAGTAAAGAATTAATGAATCAATTTGCCCTGCCAACCCAAGATAGGAGGATTATTGCTGGCTGCTTTACCATCTATAAAAAGAAAGCTGGTGTTTTAGATACTAGCATGGACTAACATTGAAACTAATGATTTCTCTTAACTACTATCATTGACTTATGAAAGCAACCTCCTGGTTGTTCTTTCATCCTCGGATGTCTCATTAACAATATTCTTGTAATATTCAATTGACGAATGAGGCTACTTGAAGCAATTTAGAAAAGATATCTACAGCTGTCACTGTTTGCACCATAACTATTCAGGAATAGGTGGGAGCTTTAGTCCTAAAACTAAAACTTTGAGAACTAAGGCAATTGCTTACCCTTGAGAGTAGGATGTAGAAGGCCAACCCAAATGCTATGATCAGTATAGAGAAGACTACCAGCACTTTGATCAGGGTCTGAAGAATCTCCAGGAACATTACAATGTAAATGCCAACCATGTCAAACCTGCAAAGAAATTTAATGCAATATTTCAATCTCAATTTCAAACAAATCTGCAGAAGCATGGATATTTTTTCATCAGATTGGTTTTTTTAATGGGTTTCTTGTCATACTGAGCCGATAAACCAATATTTTTTAATAACTCTTACTTTGTGTAGTCATTTTTAATACCAATGCATAATACAAAACTTTGAAGCAATCTTATCAAATTAAGAATTTATTCGATATTGACAATTTCTGGCCAACGTAGTCAACAATTTGAGGAGATTACACAACAATCAGCTCCCTCTGGTTCTGAGAAATGTTTATGGCTGATTTACTGAAAGATTTTGTCAATTCATATCTTTTGTTTTGTTTTTTGTCAATGGGAAAAGTATTTTTTACATCCCATAGTTATCGGCAAGGTAATTATTATACCCAATTCCCATACAGTTTCCAAAGAAATTGTTAAATCAAGCTTTTAATGTTCTGGTTTTCAGAACTAAGACTTTACTTTTATAATATTCCTCTGGGTTGACTAATCTTGACATTGGATATTTTTCAAATGTCCCTTATTGTTTATACACCCAACCACCAATCAAACTCAAGGCCCAACAAACAATCTGAAACAAAACGACTACCGGGTAGTACTTAGTTGGTTAGTACCAAAATTCCATCTGTGTTACAGCAAATGTTAAAATATCTTTGGAGCATGATGTGATTATTGATATGGTATATTAAAAGTTTCAAATGATGTTCGGTTAAAAGAGCTTTTAGAATACAAAGAGGATCGGGACTTGCATTCCATCTCGTGTGTAACCAGCATCTGGTCAACAAGTGATAGATATTTGGGTAAACACGTTTGTTGTATTCAATGTTATTTACAAATGTAAATTGTCTGATAGACTACAAGATGAGGATTAATTTACAGACATTCTGGCCCAAAATCTCTATTTGATTCAAACAATCCAGATAGAACTCACTCACCTCTGCAGGTTAAGGAGTAGTGTGAACCAGCTAAGAAACACCGTGATGGACGCACAGGACACTGTCAACTCTGAGATGATGCCGTGGTAGACAGGGAGGATCATGATGATGGTACTGACATAGAGCATCCAGGACACCAGGTTAGTGGGGTCCAGCAGGTACTGCCATCTGGGGGAAGAAAATAATCTATGCTGTTGACTGAGGGAGTTTTTGGACTTTGAGATTATTATCTAGATAAACCTACTGAACAGCTAGTTGACAAAAAGCCTTGTTATGGCAAAGCCTGATTACTTCTTATTTCAATAAAGAAAATTGTGTACTTAGGAAGTCATGAACATCATTCTGATACCTCTGTTGGTAGAGTTGCAGTCCTTCTCTCAACATGTTCAGACCGATGTACATGATGATCATGCAGGAACACAAATACATCACTGGAGTCCTTACCAGCTCATCACCATCCTGTACGAAACAAGGAATATTAATGAAAGAAGTACAATGTAATATTATCATTGCAATAGCAAACTAATTGTTAAATATTGTTTACTTCAAAAACATCAAACATATTTTTTTTATAATCAAACTTATAAAACATAATTAATTTCTCAAATTCATACTTACTTCATCCATGGTAATACTGGTGGTCATATTTTTGACGGATACTTTAGAAGAGTCCATCAGTAAAGAAGAATACGTCGTGACAAAGCAAAGGAAGATCAGGTAGAAGACTAGGTATGCGATGTGGAAGTATTTGCCATAAGAGTTCCACTTCATCTGCAGATATTTCTGGCTGAGTGGGTGAGCCAAAAGTTCTACACGTCCGTGAGTCACCATAGCCTGTGTTGAAATGTGAATTATGTGTCAAAAACATCTTTGATGCATACAATACATAAATATCCTGTTCCTTTATGTGATATACGGTATTCATAACTTATTCAAATAACAGGTTTGTTTTAATTAGAAGGAACGCTTACAACAAATATTATTGTTTTCAGTTTTAATTAGGTACTGCAAAAAAATTCAAACAATCTTTTATTAATTGATTCTTATGAAAGTTTAAAAACTTTTTTTTTCATTTAATTTCATCCAATACTTCCCTTAAGTCAAATCCATAAAGTGTTTGATGTCACTAGAAGAGCTTAATACGGGGTAAGAGCCTTTTCCCACTAGTATCTATAAAAGGGAAATAAAAGTGCATTTTTTCTCTTCACATCTTAATTAACCCTCAAAAAAGGTCAAAAGGCACGTGTTAATATCTTAGACATCATTTATCAAAATCATATAATGACGAGGTGCTAAGGTTGGTGGTATATGCAACTGCCCATCTACAAGGTCTTGAAGTCTTGGAGGCCAGTGCATTGAAATATCAAGCAAAGCAGAGGGTGAGCTGGTACAGTTTTACAATCAACTGTACCGACAATCTTTAATTGAAGGCACTGGGACTCAAACCCTAGACATGACTACCTTGTTTTCACAGTGTGTTAAGCTACTGACTCACCAATCTATCCTTCAACCTTAAAAGAAAATTAAAAAGTAATCCTTTTTGCAATACTGTATAAAAATTTGAATTATAGGATAAGCGATAAGTTTTTACATGGATCAACAATGCCAAAAAAGATTAACCCTGAAGCGGGCACTTGACCTTTAAAAAGTAAAAAGGGTGCATGCAGGAGCTTTTTCCACATTGCATAATCATACAAATTTATTCAATTTCATTTAATTTTATCATATAATCTTTGGCCATGTTCCAATTGTTTCTTGTATTACAACAGATTACATTTATCCTTCTTTCCTTTGCAACCATCAGAACCACTTGGTCTTGTTCTATTCATCCTGCTACATCTACTGTGGTTTCCTGCTTGTACAGAGAGGTAATTTCTGTTATTGACTTTTACATACTGAAGTAGACATCCCCTCTATGTGCACTATAACTGGTTCAAATCAAATTACAGAGCTATGCTACAGTCCAAAATTCTACTTCCCCGATAATTTGTATTGCTGTGATATGATATATTATATGACATGACATTAAATGACAATATAGTTAAAATTAAAATCAAGAAGTATTTTCAGTTTGGCTTTGTTGCAAGGTGTTGGAATTTGACATAAATAAACGGACTTTGTCTGTTGAACCGTGTTAATTTTTATTCAATGCTGAATGGTCTACATTTATCAATAGTCAAAGGTATCATATGTTCTTCTTGCTACATCTACTGCAGTTTCCTGGGTCAGTGATTGTGGTGTTAACTACGGTACATACTACTTACATTCACCACCTCCAGAGGGTCTGGCCGCCACTTTATGTTGTTGAGAGCCTTGCGCTGGGACGCCAACTTGGCTGGCGACGGCTGGTAGTGGTCAAACGAATATTTGATCTGTAAAGTCCAACAGCAAAGCCATGCAACCAGTTCCAACATGTCAAACGGATGTCAAATGCACGCAGGACTGGATGGGATACAGAGGGAAAAACTTAAAACTAAGAGATAAAGAAGTCAATGGATAGTACATGAGGGAAAATACAAACGTATACATACAAACAAACAACATGTAAGAGCCCAGTAGGAAGGAATATTATCTGGTCAAATATTAATTTAACTGTATTAAGAACAAAATATTCTACTTTTTTTAATTGTCAAGCATGCTAATGTGACCATTGAGTTTGAAGAAACATAGACTATAGACACACTAACAAATTCAATGATCAAATATCCAAAGTATTAGTAAATGGCAAAATTTAAATGGAAAACCGTTGAAAAAAATATTTTGACTTAAAACTGTTTCCATCAAGAATTAATCATCTCTAGACTTTCTTAATATTCTTTTTATTCATTTAAAAGATTACAAAAGTATTAGAGATATTAGTAGTATGGACATTATAAACCATCCATGAACATGATTTTTTCGTTTTCAAAAACTTAACAACGTAGACGAATTTGAAACAGACATAAAATATTTTAATTGCTGACCCAATTCATCAGTAACTTCCCATAATATTTAGAAAATAAAAAAGTGTTATGTTGGTTGAACTTACCGCTAAAAACTCTAACTATAACAATCAAGATTTCTAGTAAGTGCATACTAATTCAAGATGTGTTTTTGCAAGAATCTCACAAAATTAATATACAGTTTTTTTAGCAAACGTAAGGTAAAATTTGACTACCATTCTACATTCTATGAATCTAAACCTACCATAAAAAAGTTCAATAAGACATCCACAGAAGCAAACAAGCCACAAATCACTACACAAAAAACTAGGACACACAAAAACCAAAGAAAAAACCTACGCAAAAAACAAAGACGTACCCAACATGCTTGCTCCGGACAGGTAGGCCTACGTCTTCATGCGCCATCCTTTGTCTAAGAGCATTTACACTATATGTACACTCACATTCAAAGCTGGTAGAGGGATAGGCTTAGATATAGTGAGCGCTTCGCCCGTCTTCTGGTCCATCTGAGCGTACTCCCGGGGACACTGCAGACACGAGAAGCTGTATTTGATCTGTAGAAAAGTGTAAGGTGCTCAGCATTTGATGGAAGTCTGTGTCATCGTGTTCCCTTCCAGTGCTATGGACTGTGAAGTAGGGTAGGTTGTTTGTTCAAAAATTGAATTGGAAAAAAATTCAAATAGTTGGTTCTGGGACTTGTTAGTTTGAGTGGTGAATTCCAGCAAAAGGAGCGGACCCCGAAACGAATTGACCCTCAAAACACAAAATTTACCAATATCTCTCTAGACCTTTTTAAAGAGCTTAAAAATACAAATAGTTTAGTACCGGTATGTCAAAGTGTTTTTGTAAACCTATTGGTAACCGAGAAAATTCAAACAAATTTAAATTTAAAATCTCTATGTTATTCTTATGGAGAATATTGTAAAATGTTGTAGTTTGCTCGTTTATAGATATATTATTTTGGTCAAACTTGGTAAATTAATTTATTTTATACTAAGGTATTAATATTTTACCAAAAAACACACTTTATTAGTTTCTATGTAGCAGCAAACCTAGGTACTCGTTAAACCTAATGTTATTTTAACACGTTCGCTACTGCAATAGTACGAAATTTTCCATTCACATGGACCAGCGACGCACATATGCGACGGCCGGTTTCCACCCATGGACTGCTCACATTAAAATAGACTGCCGACGCATATTTGCGTCGGGGTTCTAATGTTATTAAAATGCTTATATCTTTGTAGTGGTCTATTTGAAGGCACTGAATTCCCTGCAGTGGTCTACAGAGATGTCTGACGCACAACTGCGTCACTTGGTCTGTGGATATGATGATTGGTGACGTCATATAATAGTTGGAAAAGCTGGTCTTTACTTTTCTGCATCACTGTATGTATGTATGCAGTATGTATGCTGCATTATCCTATGTAGCTTTTATATTTGTTCAGTTATAAACTGTTCTTGAATAATCTGTTTATTTCTTTACTTACTTTCACCTTAAAACACAAAAAAATGAACTGTCGCATATATGCGACGTTTAGTCTATTTCAAGAAAACTATGATAATTTTCATTATTGTCTTCGCTGTAGACCGGGCGTCGCAAATATGCGACATTACAAAAGGTTATAAAAAATACAAATAAACTAGAATATTTTATTTACAAACACCATTGTAGCGTATTACAATGTAAATGATCGCTGTTTTACAGGTTTTTGCCCGTGGTCTGTGTGTACTGTTATCCAAGTGACAGTCGGTCTATGTGTAAGATTCAAATGTATACCTCGGTCTGTGGCAATGACCGCGGCGTCGCATATATGCGACGCTCAGTAGCGAACGTGTTAATAGATTTAATTAAAAAAACAATTCAGGCCGATGGAAATTCGCATAGTCGGCAGGTTTGCTACGTTACAAGTTTCATAGCAACTGCACACGGTTCATTATATAAGTAGTTTATTACACCGATTAGATGTTTGTTAAATGCCTTCTTGATTATTTGAGTTATAATTATGTATACAATATATTGCGTACGGTAGTTTACTGGGTATTGTTCCAATTATATATTGTCCAATAGCACTGATAGGGTGATTGTTATTACAAAGCAAACACAAAGAGTAAAAACTATTATGTACAATAAAAGAAAACATACTATTTACAAGAAAAGAAGAGCAAATAAACCTTACAATATAGTGTTATTGTTTTTTATCTGTATGCATATATTGATGGCGTGGTAAAACAAATATAAATTTGTGTGAAATCATCACATGAGGCTTTTGATTGTTGGATTGAGTACTGAGAAAAATTTTGTTTTGTAAAGTATTGTAAAATTTACAGATTGAAAGGTTTATTTGTGCGTCAAGGTAATGTAAAACACAAAGCATCATAAGATAAACTATGTACAGTCCCCTACCTTACTTCTCATACTTTAATTAGCAGAGGTATTTAAAAAAAACCTCTGTAATCTCCAACAGTTTGTAATCTCTAACACACATTTATTAACATTTGTTTGAAATGGTTCTTAACATACTATGATAACCTGAAACTTTATGATTGTTATCTTAGAAACTTTTTCTTCTTGGTTTGGAGGTTAATTTAGAGGAAACACCATGAAGTTCTAGTTTGCAGTAACGATTTTTTTTATAAATAGTTACTAAATTATTCATTGAAATAAAAGGTCATTACTGTCTGGTAAAAGAGTAATTTTGATTTACACTCTTTGTGTAAAATCATGTTCAGCATAAAATATACACGTGAAGAGTTTCACTGTATTATTAAATTAGTTTAGTCAGTCTATTCTACTTGCAGTTTTATTACTTCATAACTGAAAATTTTATTAATATCACTCAAAAACTTTAAACAACTTTAACACAAGGCTGTCAGAAATGTTATTTGAAGTGAATTTTCTCCTTAAGCTAGAAAGCAACAAATATATTAAGGTTTTAATGTAGAATAAAAAGTTGCCCAACAATAATTTCTGCTAAAAATTGTCCATATAAAATACCTCAGCTAGTCTACTCATATTATTGATTTCAGAATTATAACATTTCACTGTTTAATAGATATAAAACTTACATAGAAAGACTTTGAGTCCTTTTTGCAGTTGGCTTTAGTGATACATTTGTCCTGAACTGACTCGAAGACTCGAGGCATTGAGGCTATGAGGGCTAGAGTGACACATGGGTGTTTGTCTGACCTTAGCGACATAACCTCCTGAGCTCTGTGCAACAGAATGTTAAAATCAATATATACAAAGACAGAAATTGAAAACAAACTAAAACAGCAGTCTTCTTTCAGCCAACCTCGTTTATAAAATGTTTTCAAAACTGCTCTTAAGTTATATACTACGTTAGAATGTTTACATTGTACAACTTAAACATAAACTTTTAGATTGCTGTCAACGATCTACTCACATTATACATTTCTGTAAGCAGGACAGTTACTGTCATAGCATTTTCATATGGCATTTTCTGTTTTTCTATTTTCATCAGGTATAACAAAAAATCTGAACAAATGTCCTAGTAAAGCTCACCAAAAATAAGGCCAATTCTGCCTTAATTTACCTGGAGTCATGAGTCACCATAGCCAGAGCAGCTTCAGGGAACTTGTAGTAGATGGCGTAATCAATGGCACTCAGGTCTATGGAGTTGTAGAGGAGTTTACAATTCATGGAGAGCAGCAGAGATATGGAGTTGGGTTTGTTCTCCATCGTAGCCAGGTGTAGAGCAGTGTTCTGTACAAAACAGTTACAGACTTTTTAAAATCTGTATTCAAGTACTCTTCACTAGTGACATTCAAATCAGGCTTTTTATTTTTTTCCAAATTTCTGTGTTCATCACGACAGAAATTTGGGGAATTCCAATATGTCAATCACCTTCACTTTGAAGATTTCATTCTGTCCAAAGCTTGTTCCTCTTCTATTCTTCAACTACATTAAAGCATCCTTGATCTATATATTGTTCAAGCAAAATCTAAGTCTTTATATGAAAAGGTAAAACCATATCTCATAAAAACAAAACATACTAATGTTTTGACATTGTTGCAGATGGCCATTTTCAGTTAGTAATAGAGCTTTTACTAGTCTGAAGATAGCAACCTGCAACTGGGAGTCACATGGTTTTATTGAGAATGACCATAGAAACGTTTAGTCTTTATATGATACTTGAAAATCACAATAGCAACACAAAATGTCTTCTAACCATACTCTTACCCCATCTTTGTCAACCTGATCCAGTAGATGGGAGTGGACGGACTGCAGCAGTTCCATAGTCTGGGTGTAGCCGCTCATGGCCGCCAGGTGGAGGGGGTTGCGCCCATTGTGGTCTCTGTGTAGCAACGCTCCTCTGTTCAGCAGCAGCTGTACCACCTTCGTGTGACCTGTCAAAGAGACTCAGTTAAGAGCATTGATGTTTGGATAGTGGGGTATACACTCTATCACAAGCTGTAGCCAAAATCAAACACAGCTGGAGAGTCAGTTACTACCATCATAGGTTTTCTTTTTAGTTTGGCTAAGCTACTAAAGATCAGATGTATAATGTATCTGACGAAAATCAGTAAATTAACATCAATACACTCTGTCGGTGTCTCAAATTAATTTTTTCATTTGCATTAAATTTCTGGCTACAGCTCAAAATATGAGAATGGAATGTCAAGCCTTATCCATAATCATTGCTAATATGCAACAAGGTATATGGCAGCGGAATGTAAAGGATAACAGTTTATGTAATCATTTAATATGTTGAATAATAAATAAATTGCAAAAAAAATTTTAACTTTCAAAAGGAATAAAAACCTATAAACCTAATATTTATACCTTGTTGAGAAGCAATATGAAGTGGGGTTAGTCCTTCTCCATCAGTCTCATTGATTATGAAAGAACCTTTCTCTGAATCCAGCAGCTGCTTGACAGTGTTATAACGACCATACCTGTAGAACAAAATGCACAGCTCATTAATATAGAGATGGATTGTAATTGGAGGATAATGGTAGAAAAAAGTAAAAATTTCAAGAACTGACCAAGATTATGAATATCACATTTATGTAACTTACAAGTAAGTGGAATTTTCACCGAGAATTAAAACTGGTGGATGAATGAATACAAATAACCATAATGACATATTATCTGACAAACTTGAAAATAAATCCAACAAATCACTTTAAATCAAATATCTTGATCAAGTTAACTCTTTAACTTCCACCAAACTTCCACTTACTATCCATACAAACTCAAAAAGAATGGCTGAAAGTTTGTCGGTTGATTGCTGCAACCTGGCAGTCAAGTTATCTACAGTAGTCTACTATGATTAGTATTTGAGTTAATCAGTGTTGTGAGTGTGTTAGATAATTATTTCTGATTAATGGTTTAGCATCCAAGATGTTTTGTATCTCCATCCAGAAAACAACACCTTAGATTGAGAATTTAAATCCTTATCCTGCTTTGCTAAGGCCTGTTGAGCAACTCACGAGAAAGAAGTTCACCTTGTGGCAGAATGTGTGGTTTGGCAGGCCATCTAAACTTTGGGTTGGACGGACCGGGTAGAAGTTGACGTGTTGAGTGGATTCTTTGTGACTAGCAGCTCATATCGGCAATTTCCTTTCATTTATATACTGAATGAGTCTACTAAAAGCCTTAAATTTAGATTTTGGCACTCATAATATACGGGAGTTAAGAGAATGATAGAAGTTGTGTTCCAAACAATATCAGTACTGAAATTACCTTGCGGCAAAGTGTAGAGGACTCTCATTGTTGTTGTTCTTGAGGTTGATGCAAGCTCCAAGTCGGATAAGGTTCTCCAGACTGCGTATGTGACCCTCACGACTCGCGTAGTGCAGCGGCGAGCAGCCCGTGTTGTCCTTCTCATTCAGCAGCTGTTGTAGCGCCTGCTTGGACTGTGCCTAAGAAATTCGGAAGATCATACACCAATGGGATATTGAACTGTAAGTGGAGAATAGGTAAAACCTTATTAAAACATAAATATAAGAAGACCAAGAGGAAGAGACAGAACAAGTATGTATGAGGAGAAAAGTAATGAGAAGAACAATGGAGGAGGAAAAGGAAACAACTGTGGAAGGATAGGAGAATAGGGAGAAACCTTCTTGATGACCAGAGCCTTGGCTCAATCTATAAGAGACAACCAATTACAATACCTTGATGACTTCTTGAGCAAACTCCTCCAGCCGTCCGCCGTTCATGACAACCAGATGCAGGACATTACGATGGTTGGAGTCTTTAAGGTGGATGTCGGCGCCAAGCCTGATGAGTGTGAGCACTGTGCGCCAGCCACCACGAGAGGCAGACAGCAAAAGAGGCGATCGGCGCTCCTTGTCAAGAGGATTGATATCTGCTCCCTGGATTTGGGAGTAGAAGAATCTTTAAAGCTTAAAGTATCAATTTATTCTTATAGAGTATAAGATACTTTCTGTGGGCAACGTTTTATCTGTCAACAAATTTAGATTGTATTGCTGAATTAATAAAAAGTTAACCGTTGTTTATTGTTCTCTATCTACCAAATTTGAAGAACTAACACAGCTATCCTACAACATGCAAATGTTTACAATCACTTCTAACTGGACAAAAACATTACACACACAGTCTTCATAAACACAAAATCTGACAGTAATAGTGTAAACAAAAGTCAGACATAATAGTACATCACAAGAAAACATTTTTGTATTTTTTCCATGAAATGAAAAACAGTGTTTCCTTTATTAATCTAATCCAGAGTTGCTCAATTAGAATAAACGCCAATAGAATAATGAGGGAATCACAAATGCTTTTGAAGGAAAAGCGGCCCCCAACCCCTCCTAAAGTCTTATGGATATGCCAGGACTGAGCCTGTCCCTCTACGCTGAAGTCCAAGAAGCTAACCACTAGTCTAGCAAAACACACTCATTCATTTAATCAATCTCATCAATCTCAACCATTCACCCATTCATCCAGTCAATAACCATCGCATACCTCCTGGACCAAATACTGCACTATTTCCATCCTATCGAACATGGCGGCGCAGTGCAGGGGAGTCATTTTCTGTATGTCACATGAGGCAAGAGACAACCCCTTTTCCAGCGGCTGTAGGCTGAACATGAGCTTGACAATGTCTATAGCACCCTGGGCACACGCTAGATGTACGGGTGTGGACATGTCGTGCTGCTGGGTAGAGATCTTCGCTCCCGACTTGAGGCACAGCTCCACTGCCTTTGGGAAAATAAATTGAAAGAATGTTACAGCAGGTAAAATGGGTTTGCATTTGCATGCATATTTTTTATTTTGTTATGTGAGAAATTACGCTACATTGCAAACTTATTCATTACATTATAGGATTATACCTTAGAGCTTTAATTTAGAACTCTTGATGCTTTTTTTTGTAATTGGTTCATGATAAAATTATAGGTTTTTCCTAGATCATGCATATCGCTTTTGACTCTTAATGAAACCAGGTGTTCCAGCCCAAGCTGACACCAGTTTCAGAGTCGAAATGCACGTAGTTAGAATCAGTCACCAACAGAGTATCAATTAGTCGATTACCGATTTCTTTTGTGTACATTAACCTTTTAACTAAGAAAAACTGGAAAGACAAACTTACAGTAAACTAACATGTGTTATGTCATATCAACTATCTCATTTTCAAATCTAAGGTATCATGTATAATTTTAGATTGTGGTACACTCTGAGGATCGTTCATTGACTTTACCTCAGTATCCAAGTCAATATTTCTTCTTTTTGTTGTACTCTAGGACTATTTTAAATAAGCAGAGGTAATTGAATGGAAATGAAAAGTACCAGCTAACTTAAGGTCCTGGCAATTCAAATTTTAATAACAAGCAAAAAGAAACCAACTATCAACCTTGAAGTCACCACTGTGAACAGCGGAGTGAAGAGGTACGTTCCCCTCCGCATCATAGAATGCTATCATCTCCTGCCGAGTACATCCTATAGTCTCGCTCAGTTGCAGGAACACCTCCATAGTGTGTGAGGAGGCGTTCTTAGCTGCCTCGTGTATAGGGTAATAGCCGTTGTTGCAAGGTCTACGTGGACAGGCTCCCAGCTTTGTGATCTGAATTGGTAAACAATTAAATTAGATTGAATGGTCGTTGATGCAGAAATTATAATGGTCTTACAACTTGAACTTACACAAAAATAAACTATCTCTTTCATTGCTGTATATGTGAAGTAAAACTATGAATGAATGACTTGACTCACCAGTAGCCTGGCACACTCGTCGTGGTCATATATTGCTGCGATGTGCAGTGCAGTACGGCCGTGCTCGCCACCTTGGTTGGTGTCTATCAGGTGTTTGTATTTAGCCATCACCTCCAGTACCGTAGCCTTGTTGAGCTCAGTAGCCAGATGTAGCGGCGCCTGCATCTTCTGGTTGAGGATACCAGTGTCCACACCCCTGCCATGGCAATAATGTGGTAAATTTAGTTACAAGGAGTTAAATTGAATTGTTATGTCACCTATTCTCGGTGACCTGTTCATATTGCTGATAAATAAAATTTTCCCCTAAGGTCGTTATCCCACTATGACAGAGCATTGATTACAGTTTAAAGTAGGTACTCAAGCAGATTTAGTCAATAGAGAATCATCCTATAATTCCGAGTAGTTTTTTGCTTGATAAAAGAGTAATTGTAATGTAACATAATAAATTATGTAACGTTTGTTGTTGGGATAGTAGAACAAAAAACAACATTTTATAATTGAGGATTCATTTTAAAGTTTATGATCTAGCACACACGCAAGTGGTAATTAAAAAGGTAATTTCATTTAGGGTTTTGCCCCCCTTAGGTCTATTTATTTCTAAAGATAAATAAACATAATCATTTTCAAAGATCCGGAGATACAGTACTGACCAACTTTCTTTATAACAGTTTAAATGTGAATTGTTATTCAACAGTCGATCCTTCAGTTCAATGTTTAACCAAGTGAGATTGTAAACAAGTGAGACTAAACCGTTTATGAAAATGTATTTTGAATAGATAATTTTTTTGAAAACTGTGACCTGATTGGAGGTAGGCAAATCACTCTTTATAGTGTAGATCTAAAATCAGCAGATTTATTGTAAGTTAGTAGTTTTATTCACCAATCCTTCTTAGTCAAGTTTTGGAATAACAAGCTTTGAACTCATTAAATTGAGTAATTTATGCATGGGTCCCCTTTTATGCGGTAATTGTTATTTCACATAACTTTTTTCACTTTTTTGAAACAATGGATCTAGATTTGATATGTTGATTTTGTTCAGTATTAGGTACTTTCCAAAATCCTAATGATCACTGTTTTTACAAGATCTTAAAACTGTTCTTTAAACTCAAATTTACAATCCAATGAACGATAGTGTTTCCCTCATCCACAACCATTCATGTTCAGGATGGGAGGAGATGTTGTTAAGCTGCAATCGGAGATGTAAATCAGTGTTTGTGTTGTTGGTCTGTCCTCAATGAATTCTCATCTCCAAGTGTTGACTCTTCCGCCAAACAGTTGACAAACAATATTGTTTTTACAATACAGTATTTGCCTTTGATTTTATGAAAAAATTTCATCAAGTATTCTTAAAAGTTGTTTATAATATAACTGGGGAATAATTTTGATAGGATTATATTAGTGCGTAAACATTCATATTAATTCTTAATTTGTTTGAAGTTTAAAAAAATACATAAAAGTAATAGGATGAAATAAACATATAATAATTCATTACAAAAAGAAATCATTCCATCAATATGTTAAAACAAATTATAATCCCACTTTTTCTATAATGAGTTGTTTCCCAAGGATTACTCTTTAATTTCCTAAAGTAATTAGCTATTTTCTTTCGAATGATTAATCTATTAATATAACATCAGTATTTTAAATAACAACTACACAAAATAAATGGCCCCATACCCCATAGTAAGATAAGAACATTGTTTAATTAGGAGTACAGTACAGATGTCATACACCATATGCATACACCAGATGTGCCAAAGAACATATGCATACACAGTATATCTACCATACTTTTGAATCTCAAAATAGTCATGTGTTATTTTGTTTTGTGTTGAACAGTGAACGTACAATATAGAAATATTTTATCGAGAATATCGATAAAAAATTATTTATAAGTAAAATATCTCTAATCTTAAATTAAATTTTTGTAATTACTTTATTGCACTTACATTTGCAGCAAAAAGTCAACGACTTCCAAGGACTCCTGCTCAACGGCAATGTGCAAAGGTGTGTTTCCAGCATGGTCTTGGATATTCATATCTAAAAATGTAATAAAACATGTATGCATTTTTTACAAAAAACACAATACATGCAATTTATTTAATAAACATGGAGACCCAGACTTATAGTATGCTTAATCAAAATTATGAATGATAGAAAAGTTAAAAAAATATTCTTTAAACAATATTTTCTTTTACAACACCCTTTGCTGTATCTCCATTAATGGAGTAAATTAAAGTGTATTGTCGCCCCAATTCAAAAGGTTGTGTTCTACTTCCAATACAGCTTGTAATATTACAAGGAACAAATTAAGTTCACTTAGACTTGCATTATTAGTTTTGAAATTAATAAAGGTGAACAGACGAGTACCTATTTCAGGTTTACGAGTATTTGAAGTTATTAAACATCGCAGATCTCACAAGATTAAAAATAAGTGCAATGAAAATATTTATATTAAATTATTAGAAAAGCAATAAAGGTGTTTCAATTTTAAATATAACCTCTTCTTAATACCAAGATGCTTTCATTAAACTGAAATGTTCAGAATAATTTTAACATGTTATTAAATTTACAGTGGTTAAAAATAACGCATTTATTTTCTTCTTGCAATATTGTGTGGTGTGTTAATATAATGATTCCCACTCACCATAGTGAATTTTGTTTATATAGGGGCATGAGATGAAGTATAACTAGACTAAATTAGTACTGTAATATCAAATCAGGGGCTCTAGGATTTCAATAAAATTGTTTTTCTTTAATTGTTTCCCCTAAAAGTATTTATACATTGAAAAATGTAGGACTACACCACTAAATAGTGTGATCACTATTGGTAAAGTTCCCTGGAAGTAGTCGATGCAACGATCTGTATCAATTGTACCTACCCCCGCCATGGCTCAAGATGAACTGCAGGATGTTGAGTTTGTTCCGAGCCGCTGCCTGGTGAGCTGCAGCTCTTCCCTTCGAGTCCCGGACTCCCAACCGGGACGGTTCAGCCAGGAACAACCTGTTGAAGTCTTCGAGGTTCCCACTCTCTGCCGCCTTTGACAAAAAAGTTCCAAGTCAAAATACTAACTAACTTTGCTTCAATCAAGTCTATCAACTGGTGAAGATTAAGAACACAGAAAACTTAGTTAAATCTAACAACAGAATCAACTTTAATTCACACATTTTTCGACTGCCATGACGAATGACACTAATTGAGTTTTCACTCTTGTTATATTGTAAGTGTTACCCCATATATTTTCTTACATTCAAACTGTTATGTAGCATGTCATCACAGTTATGGTTTTTAATACCGTATGGTAAATAAATAAACGCCTTTGTGTTTTTCCATGTCATCCTAGTAAACCTACCTCTCCTAGCACGGAAAAAAAGTAACTACTTCTTCTAGCGACGGAAGAAGATTCCAGATCTCGATACCTCATTTTATACAACTAGTTTTTATTAATCATGATGGAAAATGTTTGCAATACATTTTTCAAACTAAAATTAATTTTAAACAAAAAAACTGTTTTTTATTTGAGAAAAGGAAATGTGTTTTTGCGTTTCACATGCAAAATAATGTAGGCTTTATACAAGAAATGATTGATAAAAACCTACATAGGTCTTCTCTGTTTTGTCAAGCTTTCTATTCCAGAAACGTTTGTGCTTACGAGCCGATTTAATTAGACAAGAGTAAAGAGGAAACAAATGACTTCTTAGCGTCGCCCCATTACAGACCTGCACAGAACTCGTGCCTCGAACATCACATCACTGTCAGTATTTTGTCTTTAGTTGGATAAAGCTTTTAAGCTCTTTAAATTTGAACCAATTACAAACAACACGCATAGTACTTCTATATTTTCTTATTTGTGTTTCAAAGTTGCGTAGTTGTTTTTTTTTGTTTTTTTTTGTAAGAAAACAGCCCAAACACATTTGGGTTGCTTTTTTAGATCCTGGGGACTTTTTACTGCCTGAGATAATCTTTAGTACATCTCTATAATAAAATGTGTAGAATAGTCAGGCTGTGGTGTATGCATTGACTTTGAATTTTAAAAGTATATTCTCATCTCATTGTAAAATCGGTATTTATTCTTTAGTTATACTGTAGCACTAAAGGGCAAGTAATTGTTTACAAAAGTATTACTACGTCAGTTTAAACTGTTTAAGTTGGTTAAATGTCAACAAACAAAAATCGCGTAATCGACAAAACTCCTTGTACCAAACCGGAACCATCTAGCCTTAAATAGTCTTAATCCGATCTATAAGGATTATAAATCTATATTATATGGTGTATTTTGTTTTTACAACTAAAATTAAAACATTCAATCTAACGTAGAATCTAACACAGGTATTACTTCAGCCTGTTACATAAAACGTTACAGAATGAATTTTTAAACAAACTAGGGAATAAAATATTGTGAGTATTATGATACCAATAGCTGGATTAAAGCTTGAAAATGATTGCATAGAATATTTTATGCGTTCATTCAAATCAAATTCTGCAGCACCTTGACTCAGTTCAAGTATCAATAGACACTAATTTAAAAAGGAAGACAACGGAGATTGGAGAAATTATTAGATTTCTTTGACAAATGGTTACAGAAGAGAAGCTTTATGAATGACAATTTAATTGTCGACTTTTATATTTAACTTAACTGCACTTTTTGAGTCTAGCAAGTGACATAGTACTTTGAAAAGTTCATAATGGAACAATAATTTAGAAGTAAGCAATCCTTTCTTATAAACACGACTCTTTATCAAAAATATGTTACCAATAGCTTTTAGAGGGAAATATTAAAACATATTGATCTCGTTCACATTTTAGGGGTTGACTTCCATATGAAATTACCTACTATTTAAAATAACCTGTTGAAACCTTTATGTTTTAGTAATATTGACATAAAAAAGGTCTACAATATTATCAAACATACCTTGTACCTCGAAAATCTTAGAAAATGTTCATGAAATTTAAACTTTATTCTTCCAAAAAAGGTAACTGAAATTACTAAACATTTTAATTTCATTATTGCTCGAAGTCAAAAATAAGTCAAATTATTCATGCGTCTTCTGATGACGAAAAGGTACACAGCTTTGATAAAAATACAAGGTTAGATTAATTTGCAAGGAGCTATATTTGTCTGCAGCTATAAAAATCAAAGTAATTGACTTGCGAGGAGCTTCAGACACTAATGAAATTCCTTATCAAAGTTTCTAGAAAAGCTCATATTCGAACAATGAAAAACACCTCTGAAGTGAGTTAGTAAAGAGATGAGGCTTAAAAGATCAGACGAGAGAGGTAACGAAAACTGCAAGGTAAATGTTCTACTTCAGGGTGTGTGTAAGGTCGTTGAACCGACGGTAATTACTGCTGTATTGTTAATATTAAAAGTTTTTTTTAAAGGACTTTTTACAAAAAGATTTGTCTAAACTAGTGTAAGGAATTGATTCTTCTTTGGTTAAAAAAATTATCTGTTTGGCAGCGTTTAGTATTTTGAACAAGATCTTTTTTGTATTATTTTACCACAAAACACATAAATATTGAAAATTTAATATATTTGATCAACTAAAATAAGCATATAGAAACTGTCTCATTATTGTTGATTTTAACAATTTACTAACCAAAACCTGAAATACTACCATTTCGGTACACTATTAAAACATAATTTAATCTCGAGATGTAAAATGTTGGAGGTAACATGAACTGAACGTCTGGCTTTGACAATAAATCTCATTAGTTACAGCTCACAAATCTTTCCATTTAACTAAAATTTATTTTCAGATTATAACCATTTCGTTTAAAAAATATTAAACCATACCATTCATCATAATAAAAATATAATTAACACTTATATCGTGTGTCATTTCCACTTTGTTGGGTTTAGTTATTTAAAATTAAAGCGTTGAAAGTTTTTATAATAAAAATGTTCCAGTTTCTCCAATTTCATTATAATAATTCTAAAAATGTTGAGTTTGCACAGTCAGGGAAAGAACCTCTCTAATATATACACACCTTTATAAAGAGTATTTATTATATATTTTCTTTAACTGGAATTGCATTTTTTTAACAAATCTTAAATGAGCTAACTTTTAATTTAATTTTGGTAAATGATAAGCAGTTATTATTGTTCTGTATGTTTGTACAGTACCAATAAAAATACTCAACTAATTTGATGTAAATATCATTGAAATATACTTTACAAACACCTTGGGCCACGAAGATAAATTAAACTCCAAGTTATTATAGAACTCTAGTCCAACTTTTGTAGGTTTTATATTTTTATATTTTAGATAAATTAGAAAGCTGTTTATTTACAAAAGATAAAATTTACTCTTGATCGTCAAATTTGGTTCTATAATAATGGATCCCAACAACACTTTACACTTTTTTAATATTTTTAAAATATGAATTTAAAGAAAATATGTAATAACCTGATACTGTATTACTTAGTTTAACATTGCAAATTTATTTTGTTTGAATATTAAATATACAAATATTCGACTAATAGGGCTTGGGATCTTAATAAGATAAGATCGACAATCATAAAGAGACTCTAAACTCCCTCTTAACCTCCTCCCTCTCCTTAACTCTTAAACATCTCTCAAGTTACCTTATTAATTTTTCCCTGAAATTCACTCCGCAACACATTAACTAAAGAACTTTTGTTCACAAATTGTGGTACTGTTCTTCATTAGTAATGTGCCAGTTTTTCTCAAAAGTTATAGATATATTTAATTTTGGAAAATATATAAAGAGGTAGTGTTTTACAGTGTTTTAGTGTGTTTACCAAGGGGAATCTTTAAAGCAGGATCTTGTTCGTTTGATGAAGTCTAAACGAAATAGCTTAAACATGTCTAATGACTATGTCTAATGATGATATTCAGTGCATTCTATATCCTAATATATGTAATATCATGTTAAGTAAAATTATGTAGGTACGTAATATATCTTGACTGTTGCAAACATTTAAAAATTGACTTTTTTGTTAAAATAAATGCCTTGGCTCGTGTAAAAAAATAGAGTTACTAATGGAAAGTGTATCCAATTTTAGGGTTTCTTCACCATTATTTTTACTTTCTCCCCCTATACATAGAATAAAGACGAATTATTGTTTTCGTCAACATTTTCGAGTTTGAGTTTTAGGTGGTGGTTTTAGTGATGTCTGTGTGTGCGTGTGTGGATGTGTACATAGCTACAGACTACACATGTGGTACAATTTTGATGAAATTTGGTACTAATCCATAGCATCTCCAGGCAATTTTTGTTATTTTTGAAATTGTAATTTTTAATGGTGGTTTGAAATCCCATAAAACAATGGTAAATCTAATTTTTACACAAAAGGACTGAGCGATTTTGATTAAAATTTATTATGTTATATTCCCTTTAACTCTAAACAATACGGTACAACCCCATTGCTGGTAAAATTGCTGTCCAAAATGTATTGTAATTTATGTGATTTCCCCATAAAACCCCTATAAAATAACAGAAAATCAGATTAAAAAACACTCAACTAATTTTGACTAAAATTTAGTATTTTATTGTTCTTACAACTCTTAACATGATAATAGAATCCTCTCACTGTAAAATTTAAGGTTTAAAATTTATTGAAACTTTTGTGATTTTCTCCATTAAATATCATAACTTTTAATTATTCCCACCACTTATGATAAGGGTCATTGACAAGCTAATGGGAGAAAGTATGTGTACATGAGTTGAGGAGTTACAAATAAACAAATGACTTGTTTGAAAACTAATAACAGTCATAATTTCCGATGATTTTAAAAGAGTCAACTAAAAGATTATTAACTGATAAAAATACTCACAATTTACATAACAGTCCTATTCCAGTTTAAAGGGTTAATATTTAACTACCAAACTGTCCATGGACGGGAAAAGGTAAGCTTACAATTTAAGTCAAAGTAAAAAGGCTGTCAGCTTTTATAATGTATTGTAGGCCTACCTAAGTTATTTAGCCAATATGTAGGTGAGGGTGTAGGCTACTTTAAACTCTACAGAACAGAGTTGGCAAAAACTGGCAGAACTCTGAAATGGAGTTATTTGTCATAGACATACTCATATGCCAAATCCTTAAAATAAAAATTCAATAATTAATAACTTATATCATTAACCACAACCAACATCCAAAACTATACACATTTTTTAATACAACATAGATAATTTACACATTGACTGTTTACAATTAACAACATGGGTTCTTCTTCAGGCATTTGACAGTTGGTTGTTTACATTTAAATGTCAAAGCAAATGTAATATTTAATTTCTGACAACAGCTGGAGTTTCAAAACAATATTTGTTTCCCATGTTAATCTTATGGAGAAATACGAAACTTTAAAGGGCCCCAGGGACTCACTCTCTAATTATTTACCTAAAAAGAATGTTTCCTGCACAACTTCACGTTACGCTCTTTCGAATGACACCAAAAACATGTCAATCGGTTCAGTAGTTTCGGAGGAGTAATTGTCACAAAAAACTTGCTTGCGTATTAAATAAGTATTAATAGCACTTTTTTACTGTAATTGCTGATACCGTTTATTTTACTTAATGTTCACTGCAGTAAACAAGTAACAACGTGGAAGTGCATTGACTTGACCGAGTCAATCAGCTGATTGGTGCAGCAATGACTGGTGTGACGGGTAAAGTGGCCTGAGTAGGGAGGGTTATTTGTCAGTCATGTTGAGGTAGAGGTTCGTGTGTTTAGTCTCAGGGGACACGTCAGGCCCTTGAACTGACCGGGTCACTACCACACAGTACATGGTGGCCGAGCTTTACAAAATGAAATTGACATGGGGTATTGGTGGCTGAGCTTCACACTATGAATTCAACATAGGACCAATGCACCTTGTGTAAATAAATTACATGATACAATACACATTATTATGATACAGAGTGCATAATGGCCGGGTATCTTAGATCATGTGTAGGTAGAGTACTATGTGGTGGATCTTTACACAGGGAATTCGACATATGAAATCATCAGATACTGCTTTGAGTATGTACAATACCCGGTGACCAAGCATTACACAAGATTTTTAAAACTGTCAAACACATTTGTATCTACACCAGATTCATTTTTGAAAGAGAGAAACTCCAAACACAAAAATCTGCTTAAATACTTTAAAAAATTGTGTGTATCTGTCTGGGTCCGATCCCACCAATCTAATACCGAGGTGTAATTTTAAGACGCTAGCCGGCTGGAAACACATCCAAAATATCCCAAAATCAAGTACAATTTCCTATTTTGCTCGCTGAAATTACCATACAATAAATACCCATACTTGACACCAGTAAGAAATTAGTACGTTATGTTTTAATCCCGATTAAAATTAACAGAACTAAAGAAATGATGTGTACATTTATTTAACATATCACTAAACTATTCATCCACTGGCCACTTTTGTATAAAACTTTTTCCATCTCAATCCAATCTGAGAAACACTTTTCAGTTGCACTTATTTGTACCCAGAAACAATGGAACAAGTTGAGGCTGCATCGATGTTAACTTACAGCTAAAGGCGAGCACTGGGGATTTGTATCTAATGAAAAACCGAGATGAGGAAACTTTCTACAAGTTTAAACCGGAAACTTGCAGTCCGGATAAGACGTGTAATTAACACAATGCGACAAGATTCTCAGTATCGCGGTTGTTTTGTCTCGTGACCGGATGAATTGTAATGAGCCTTTTGTTGAAATTTCAAAGGTCTTTGTGACGCAACAAATTATTTTAAGGTCCGATGAACGTGAGGTGCGATGTAACCTTTTTTTGCTTAAGTATCTCGGGACATTTAAGTTGTTCTTTTGCCTACGCAGTGATATGATTTTGCGAATGTTCCGTCTGTTATAAAATGCCTATTTAACACTAAAGTTATTTTGGCTTATAACATTTTATCGATATTTTGTATCAATGTTAAGCTCAGAAAAATCATAACCGTATCAGGTATACTCACAGTAGGACACAAAACAAAACAAAAGTGAATAAATAATGGATTTAGCATGATTTGATAATTTACTCAAAGAGTAAAGGTGGACAGCCTATCGGTAAAAATTATTTTGCCAAAAGCTCTGTCTTAGAATTTCTTTACCTATATTATTAAAACTTAGACAATTTTAAACGTACAAAAAATTATCCTTGTTATAGTTTATGTGGCCCATCTAACATAAGCAACAGTTTTTAAGCCAGAGGAAAAAGCTTTAATCGATTTGATCCTGTTGGGTGTGATTGTTTAATGCTTACCTTGACTGTTGGATTGGGCTTTGTGAGCAACCTAAAGTTTATTAAGTGTTATTGTTGCTTAAATTGACTAATTTTACCCAGGACGTTATGTTGGTTGTATTGGATTTATTTTTTTCTGTTTAGTCAGTCTTGGTTTCTTTTCTAGATTATAAAAATTGCTGGTTATTCTTCGTTACCCAGATCATTTACCTTGGCCTGTTAGTAGTTATCGGTTAACTTGATTTTTAATCTGTCTAGTTGGTTGTTGAAGCTTACCTTGATCGTGTTTTTGTTTTATTGTTGTTGTTTATATTACACTTCCTGTTAGAGTATTTCTGTATGTTACTTTACTGTCTCTGTTTGCTTTGTCCTGCTTGTTTTTGTTCGTTGGGACTTTTCGGTCGTTGTCAGCTATCTCGAATGTGTATTTTGTCTTGTCTGTCTTCGATCGTTGCATTGAAAGTTTAAGTTATCATGTTTCCTTTTGTGCTGAGTGTTTATCAATTGTTTACGGTTTTTTCATCTGTTCGTTGTTCCCGGTCTTGAATATTTACTTTGTTCTATTTTGTGTTGTTGCCCAATGTGTATCTAGACTTTTGTCTTGACTTGATGGCCACTGTTTTTTTTTTTTTTTTTTTTTTGTTTTGGCGAACATTGTTTGTCACCTTTACTGTGTCCGGGTTTTCACTGTCGGTAAACGAGACTACTTACCATGTCCTGTTGGTCGCTGGTTTCCTGAACTGTTATTTTTATTGTCTGATATACTATCTTGTTCAATCTGGACTTGTTGCTTACCTTTATCAGTTCCTCCGCGGATAGTTTCCGTATCGTCTGCAGTCCCAGGAACACTTTCCTCCAGTTCCTTATCAGCTGTGAGGGTGCGGACATGGCGGCTCGCGTCAGTTTGCCATGGAGGGGTGAGGAGGCTACAGGCCATACAGAGGTCATATTCACCTTGCGTCGAGGCTAGGTGTCTAAACTTTTGTATTTAAAAATAATTTCAATTTCTTTAGAGAAATTGGCCTAAACTATACAAAACATTTTTGTGGCTTTGTTGGGAATCGAACGTGTTACTCTCAACACCAAAGTCCGAGACTTAGGATAGAAACACATCCGCATATACGAGAGATTGATTAAATCAACGTTGGATAATCGAGATACAGTGTGCGGTTTAATATGACCATTTACTCGATGATAAAAGTATACGATCTTCGATATAGACACAGTGAAGCTATTAATTTTTATGTCACGTAAAAGATCATTGTACTCACAATACATTTTTAACAAATATGTTTTACATTTTCTTGGGGATTGAAAGTGGATTTTAGTTTTTGTTATGAATCAAAGTACCTACTTAATTAAAAGTACCTACCTAGGAAAATAACTCAAAATGTCATAATTTTTAAGAATAAAAGGAAAATTGTTTTATTTGTTGAGTAAAAAGATTAATGGACTATGTTTTCATTCAATTACGTTTAGGAACATTGGGAAGATTTTTAGTAATTTTTCATACAAAATCTTTCTCTTCTTGAATATTTTGTTTGTTTTTATTACTGGAAAATACAATTTTTGTTCGGCCTAAAACATATTTGAAGCCTCAGACGCAAAAGGAATATAACCTCTTCGTATTGGTTAGCTCTGTTTTTATTTTCTCACACCACACCATTAATTCACTCGATGTATTCGATTCACACCATATAAACGAATACCATATACCATACCATAACCATACCATAAACGATGCAATATTCATTCCATCCATGACCATACCATACATACACCGTTCATAGTAGTAGTCAATTTAGTATTTTAAAATTCATATTTAAGTTAAGCAATAAATATCTAGTTTTAACATACATGGTGGTACGTTGAAATCAAACATTAAAAATAGTTTTGGATTTCCAACTGTTAAAATTGTCTTAAAACTTAAAACATACGGGCCAATCTACTATACGCCAGAATTTCATCGAATTAAAGTTAATAATCTGTAATATTGTGCAATATATTCCACACCACCATAAACATCAAAACAATAAAAGGGCGACTAATAAAACACAAATGTATTAAAGCGTAGGCGTAATTACAACAGTCTTTTCCTAGAACGAAAAGCTCATTGAAGATATAGCTTTTAGCGCTGTTAAGTGTTTCATGTTCAAATAAAGCTTTTCATGGTTCGACAAGTCAAGCTTTTAACTGGTTAATTGTTTTACAGAAATGACTACAGTATTGCTGTTCCATTAAGCTTAATTTCATTGTAGTTCATATTAGCTTGTCAATGGAAATCAACATAAATAACAACACAATTAAATGCTATTTTAGGGATTACCTAGAAGCGAGATTTTGTTTTACTTTGCGCTAAATTACTGATGGAAAGTGTGTGGGTTTTGATCGATAATGAGTGAAGATATATGCATTTTAACAATAATAAAGTTTTAGAGTGTCTAGTAATGTTATAGTTGTAATAATAGGTTAGTAATAATCTATTAAACATTGCTTAGCGAAAACTAATGTTTTCTCTCTTTGATTGTAAGACAATACGAAAAGACGTTCTTTTCCTATGTTACATAACTTACATATACAGAGTTTTAAAAACATTTAGACTTTTACTGGAAGCAACGTTTGCACTGAATGAGATTTATGCAAAGAACGTAAATATTTTTATCCTTTCAATTCCAATTGCATAGGAGATATAAATTTACACAGTTCGTCTTGAGACAAATGAAAATCAGCCACAGGAAGTCCATGAAGAAAAAGTAAATATTTATAAGAAAACTATCCCCTATTATTCGGAAAAATATAAAATATCTAAATTTGAAGTATATGGACTACTCATTGGATCAAGAGGAACAATTCCTCATCAAGTCGAGAAATTTTGGAAGAAATTCAATTTGGAAAATCAAGTGCTATTTAAAATCTTTAACAGCCATAAAATTTTCTATTAATATTATAACAAACCACCTATATAACAATTATCATAATTAGGTTTAAACAAACTTGCAAAATTTAATGTAATATTATTCTTTGTTCTACAGCAGACTACAATGTGTAGTAAGATTTCAATTTTTAAAATAAATTTGAATTTATATACAGAGCTAATCCCTGAAAGGTGTTTTTCAAGATAATAATTAATTGATGGGCCACACTGAAGTAATGTGTCATCTAGTTAAAAAAAATCTTATTTTCCTATCCTTAATGATAAACAATTTATATTTATTCAAGCCGGGTAAGCTATATAAGACGACCCAAATATGTAAATTCCTGTAAGTCTGTTGATTATAAATACACAAGAGTGGAAGTAAAATATTCCATTCCATTAATGTTGCAGTCAGATTAAAAATGCTTTGTAACACAAGAACTTTTTATCATGCCAAAGAAAGCAGAGCTTATAAAGGAAAAGCATGACAAAAATACACCTACATTAGTAGCGCTCTCTATGAAATGCTGATCCAAGTAGGTTTCATTTGAAAAGGAAATTAGGTAAGTAATCCATATAATATTCTTTTTACTTCAGTTTCCAAGGTTTTCCCTTTATGTAACCCTTTACGGCTTAAAATAAAAGTCAAGTGACTAGATATTACTTGAAATTATGTAACATGCTTTATAACAGATTTGCAGTTGAGAACTTTGGAATAGTTTCTAACAAGTTTCTCCAATCACTCGTGATTCTAGACTTGTTCAAAGTTTCCCTTACATCTGAACTGAATCTGAACATTTATTAGAAGAGTTAAGCTGTTGGTTAGGGCTGTTCTCAAATACATATAAAGTATTATTCAATAGAAGATAATAGAACAATAGTGTAATTTTTAACCTGCGTTTTCAGTTTTATTGTATCCATGGGATAGTTGCAGATTCGGAAGTCTATAAGCTTCTATTGTTAGTAAAACTAAAAAGTTTTTTCTGATAATGGAAGTTCCTATCCGGATTTGCATGTAATAAAAAAGGACCTTTTAAAATAAATCACAAATTTACTTTAAAATATTCTTCTAAATTAAATACTCTATTTGAGCTTGAGAAAACGCCTTGTTGAGTCTTATTAACAATAAATTCCCAATTACACTAAAGGCAGGGTCCCCAACATACAAGCTTGTTTTATCGATAAACAGTGTCTCACAGTACTTTTAATATTACATAAAAACCCACCCTGTATTTATTAGTTTAGTAGACAAGTGGACCCAAGCCACTAGTTAATAAATTGGTAAAAGTTATTGTCAATTGGAGGACTTGAATTCGAGTCAAAATACAACGCAGGAAGTATATGGTCACCAGTCACGTCATTAAATTAGCATTTTAAAAGAAGATAAATAATATTTTAATTATTTAAAAAAATAATTTGGTAGAAAATTTTTTAGTACCATTTGCTTACCACTGTATACAATTACAGAGTATTTAATTATCCTATGTCTGTACTCAAACGAATATTGTATAAATTGATGAACAAAAGCTCAGTAAATTGAAGTTAATGAAATAAGAATTAATTAAGAGTAACTAGAAAATTGCTTACAAGTTTCTTAATCAATGTTTAAATATTCTCTTACATTCAATTAAGTATACCGAGAAATGCACGCTTCACAACTTGTGCGGTAACTTGATAACTAAGTTTGGATACAATACAAAATACAACTCATTTTCTAGGAAACTGCTTCGCAACACTTTTGGTAATTTAGTTTTACTTTCAAAAACTTAGTGTTCTCTTATATTATCATGTTATCTGTATTTAAATCATGAGGTAAAATAAATATATTCAACCGGCAGAATTTTCAGTAAGTAAATGAGTTTTCATTTAGCCAAGTTTATTACAATTATGAGTTTTTTTAGTTTCCAGTAAGTGATATGATCAAACAAAATAGTTAATTTAAGAAAATGTTCAGTGGGCTTTTATCAAAACATGTATAATTACTTGTCTAAAGTATTTGGATGAATCAACTCTATTAATACACTACCAGAAATCCATTATAAATAGAGTTACTGGTTTGTGAAGTTTAGCTAATGATGGCCCTACTGCCCAAGACATCTTCAACCTCAACAAACTCAACTGCTTGAGATACAAATCATTACATCAGTTTGAATCAGTGTTATTAACTCTTCAAATCTAGACAAACTTAAAAACTAATAAAGCAAATCTTTACTAGAAAGACTCGTCAATGAATACCCTCGTCTTTTTATAGATTTTATTTAAGGAAATAAAAATGCATTTTCGGTTGTGGATTATGTTTGCGTTGATTAAATTATTTGGTTATTATTATTATTTGGTTTACTGATAAATGACAGTGATATTTGAATTTATGCCAATTGTGACACATTTTTGGCATTTCATAAAAATCTAAAGTAACTGCTGTACTGTTATACTTTCTTTATGATGAACAAAACAGTTTTAAGATTTTTTTCTATTTCTTTTTTCGAAACTAATGTGACGCATTTTATGGCCCTGCGTTGAAAATCGTTAACATTCAAATTAGTTTATATCTCAAAATTTTAAGTTTCTCTCAGATACAAAGATTGTGAGGTGAACTCAAAAATCAAAAGCTTAACGTAGAAATAACAATTACGTTAAAGATTATAAGAACCGTTTTAAGACGCAAAATTATTAAAATAATTAATGGGTTATTTAAAGTAATACAATTCAGGTAAGTCGGCAGTTGACAACTCTAAGCACAAAAGCACCATCATCTACAACTTTAAGTACGACTTTAATAAAACTATAAGTACAACAACACTAGAAACAACTGTAAGTAAACCACACAGGGAACGCTTAACTCGGTGCCAATGTCCAAGTTAACTCCTTCAATGCGTACGCTGCAATACTCCTGCAGTATCTGAATTGCCTACCTGTATTCAGAGCGGGGCCGCGACTCAGCTAATAGTGTCAAATCAGTTCACTATTCAACTAGTTTAAATCCCGCAGTTGGTCTGTACTACTCGAATTAAA